ATCTCAGTCCAGGTGGTTTCCTGTCCAGCAGGGTGTCAGACAAGGCGGTGTCCTTTCTACATTCTTGTATCTTGTGTACATTAACGATTTGATTAATATTCTAGAACAATCATCCAATTACTCAGGCATTCTTAATATTTCATGTAGCTGGCAGATGATCTAGCATGCATAGGACTTTCACCTGCATCCCTTCAAACACTGCTGAACATTTCATTCGAATATTCCAGGAGATGGCGATTTATGTTCAATGCCCGAAAAAATTCTGCATTCTGAGATTCCGCGCAAAAAATGTCAGAGTACACTTCGACTATGTATGGTTCTTGGGAAACGAAACCATTCCTTATCTGGACAACTGCAATCATCTCGGTATTCTTTTCAATGATAAGTGCAATCTTTCAGATAGGATAATTTCTGCATGTCGAAAGGGGAACGAGAGGCCCAAGGGCCTTAACGGTCACCTGAGTATAATACAACAATTTAGAGGATCCATAGAGTATAAAATGAACTGAAAGGTGAAGCTTTGTTGCCCAAAAGCAAGGAAAATAGGGTGATCAGGATCAACAAAATAATTAATCTAGTATTCATTGACAGTTTGTAAATTAGGTTCTAATCTGTTCCCTATTTATCACTATCACTACACAGTATATTAAAAAAACTATCAATGCTTCTGTACTATTTTAATTTCTTGTTGAAGTATCTTACATTGGCCTCTCTTGGTCTTTGATGAACATTTAATAAGACAAGTTATTTTTGTTCCATTTTTATTTATCTATTACTTACAAGTCTACCTGATCATTAAAACTATGAATTTTCAAAATACTTTTTATATTATACAATAAAAATTCTTGCATAATTCTCTTATTCTATTATCCTTTCAAGTACATTGTTTACAGTGATTAATTATCAAAACTACACAGCAAAGGGGAATAACTCCTCTCAGTAGAATACAAATTAATAGAGCCCTGGCCAGGACCAGAACACTTGACCAAATGGTCCAGATGTTCAAAAATCTGGTAAAAATACCTTTCCTTATTAAAACTTTTAATCTTCTTGCCTCTGATATGCCCAAGTGCAGAGAAATTTTTTAAAGAAATAATGCATTTTTACTACAGATTCACTATATTATCAATAGACCCCCCCCCTCCCCATTGAGAAACACTAGAGTCTCTCACCCTGGGACCAGAAGTTTGCTCATCATAAGTAATCACTTTGTTTATCTGCTTAACACTAAGGAGCAGACAGGATTATTTAATAAAATTAATGCATTTTCACTATATTATCAAGAGCCCCACCCTTACACCAGCACATCTGACCCGGGGTCATGCAATTCACTACTCTGGAAGAAGCACTCTTGCTCAACATAACTATATACTTAGCTTCTTTGCTTTTTAACCAGAAGCAGAAAAGAATATTTTCAAAGAAATTTTGCTTTTTCAATATATAATCAACCTTTTCACTAGAACCCTTTACCCTGGGGCCATGAAATTCACAATTTTGGAAGAGGCATCCTTGCGTATCATAACAATGTACTTAGTTTGTTTAAATAGTACCCAGGGGCAGAGAAGAAGTTTTTCAAAGAAAAAATTCACCTTCACTATAGGATCTATATAGCCCCACCCTAGAACCAGAACCCCTGTCCCTGGGGCCATGAATTTCACAATTTTGGAAGAGGCATCATTGCTTATCATAACAATGTACTTTGTTTGTTTAAAAAATACCCAGGAGCAGAGAAGATTTTTAAATCATTAATGTATTTTCACTATATAATAAATAGAGCCCGGCCCTAACATCAGAACCCCTGCTTATCATAACTATATATTTAATTTGTTTAAATAATACCCAGGAGTAGAGAAGAAGATTTTCAAAGAAATAATGCACATTCACTATATGATCTACATAGCCCCCCCCCCCCCCAGCAACAGAACCCCTGACCCTGGGGCCATGAATTTCACAATTTTGGTAGAGTCACTCTTGCTTATCATAACTATGTATTTAATTTGTTTCAATAATACCCAGGAGTAGAGAAGAAGATTTTCAAAGAAATAATGCACTTTCACTATATGATCTATATAGCCCCGCCCTAGCACCAGAACCCCTGACCCTGGGGCCATGAATTTCACAATTTTGGTAGAGGGCTCAATGCTTATTACAATCATGCCAACAGTTTGACTGCTTGATGTCCAGGAGTAAAGAAGAAGATTTTTAAAGATTGCATTAATTTTGATGGTTTTAGCCCCACCCCTCAGGCCCCAGGGGGGCAGAGGCCATGATATTCACAAATTTTGTTCCCCTTAACACATAAATGCCATATGCTAAAATTGGCTGAAATTGGTTCAGCGGTTTCAGAGAAGAAGCTGAAAATGTTTAAATGTTAACACACGACGGACGACGCACGACGACGGACGAAAACAGATAGCAATAGGTCACCTGAGCGACTCAGGTGACCTAAAAACTCGTATTTCGTCCTTAATGATATTGGATCTCAACACCTGAACCCTTTAACACTTCCTCATCTCTACAAATCAGTTGTCTTACCGTCGGTACTCTACGGCTGTGAAATATGGAATGACATGTCATCAAATGATTTACATCGCTTGAATGTCTTCCAACATTTAGTGGTCAAAAACGCCCAGAATCTACCTACCAGAACAAGGTCTGACATTTGTGAAAACCTTTTTGAAGTTCTTCCAATACAAGCCGAGATTGATACTAGGAAGCTACTATTTTTTTTGGCCGTCTGTGTCGCCTGGAATACAAAACTCTGTCTAAGAAAATCTTCTTAATCAGGTTGTTTTCTTACTTGGAGGGGATCGCTCATAAGCAGCTAGGTTTTATTCCTGATATTTTGAGTCTTTTATGCATTTAAACCTTTGCGAATATGTGCGAGAGTGGCTTTCGCTTGGTTCATTTTCATCAAAGTCAGCCTGGAAACAAATTGTGAGATCTGCGACTTTTTGATACAATAAGCTCCGGAGAGACACACGTGTTTCAGGTGATCCTGGATTCGTCCGTTTCCGAAAAATATTTCAGGATGGAAATCCTGCTTTATTCTGGCGACTACCCAAAAACTGTTATGAAATTTCGTTGTGCAAATTCTTTTGCAAATTAATCTCCGAATCTCCTCGAGAAACTACAGAAATTTGTCCCCTTTGTGGAACTCTTTACGTTGATCTCTTTAACCATGCGTCGTGTACTTGTCGTATCACATATGATATACGCAATCAGTGGTGGGAGGATGTAATTAACTACTTTGACATTAACTTGTGTGCTGAACTGTGTGCCCTTACAGAAGATGAGCTGTACTTGATTCTTCTAGGCCGTAAGCCGAACACCATTCTATCCGCCTTCCACCTCCGAAACTTCCACAGCTACGTAACTTTCGTCTCATTGCCGATGCTTATGCTTTCTATAAGCGCAATCTTTCCGTACTGCAAATTTGTCAGTGAGGGATGCTTCCCACTCCTTTATATCTTTCTGTTTTCCCAATGTTCATCTATAGATTTTTTTGTTGATAACAAGCAAGAACATATGTGTATGAAGTAAGGTAATGACCACTATTTTGTGGTCTCAAACTTTGTAAATATTTCTTTTTTCTATATATATGTTTACATGCAATTCACCTTTGTATGTGTACGAGTTTCAGTTCATGTAGTTATGTTATATATACTATATTCTTTTTAAGTATTTTGTACAGTATTCATTAATCACTGCGAAGTGGAAATAAAGTACGAATGAATGAATGAATAATAAATCTGAAGATTAGGAACTTGGTAAAGATAATATTTAATTATTTGATTAATTATTCCTTCTACATGTAGGACTGACACAAAATTCGACAGGGATTTCTGATGCAATGGGTGCACGCAATCGGGGCCTTGGGCCAAAGACTATTACTAAATGTATAAAATATATCTCCCAAAGCTATGGAAAATTCTTTTTATAACATGTTTATGGCTCAAAACGTGTCGTACATTAACTCTTCTTTACAAATAATTCATTTAAAAAATAAATCTGTTCCATATATCAAAGGAACCTGTCCAGTTTGTTTTACATTGAGCTCATGAACGATTTCAATGTGCATGTAAAACGTCAAATGACGTCATAGTACATTTTGTGTGTTTTACTAGTAAAAGTTCCAATATTCAACAACAAATATCTCTGTAACGGATGCACGTACCTTATAATATCCGGAATAAAAAATAATGTAGGGAAAATTCCCAGCTTTCAGGTTATGGCATTCATTTTTTTTTTATTTTATTGTGTTTGTAATTAAGATAAAGCCAACAGAAGATAGCACAAAATCAGTCATTTATGCGTAATTTTATCAACTTCCTGCTATGATATACGATATTCAATTCAAGTTTATGATAATTTTGCAACATCGCACAGAAAAACTTTGAGTAGAAAAAATGTTTAGTTTCTTCTCTAGTTTCAGAAAATATCAATTGTTTTGTTGTAATCCAAATATTTAGAAAACGCCATCAGTTAAATATCTGTGATGCTGAAAATGCGTCCAAATTTCGTCTCTGGGGGTTAAAGGGTTAACCAATTAGATTTTAGTATTTAACATGAAAGTATAATAATCTGTTTTATAGTCTGCAGAATGTATGTAACAAACTAGATGAAGGTTGCACATATTTTTGTATTTAAAATTTTTGGAAAACGTAATGGGGAAAGAAAGATACATCCATTTGTTCCAAGTACTTTTATTTGATTGAAACAAACAGCAAAGTGATTATTATGTTGCATTTATATTAAATAAACATGTAGATAGAAGCATGTAATATACAATTCATAACTATTTCTAAAAGAAAAGCAAACTCGTCTCACTGCATTACATTTATAAATTCAATCAGTTAAATGAATCACAATATTTGTTTATATATATATATATATATATATATATATATATATATATATATATATATATATATATATATATATATATATATATATATATATATATATATTGAAATCATCAGATCTTATAAAGACTGGAAGTGAGAATTACGTGTTACAAATTAATAATTTACTAATATTTTTTTATACATAATATAAAGTGAATGCTCACAAAAAACCACTATATGGAAGTCTAGGGGTATCCTTCATAAAAAAAAATTCCATATAATTTATCTTAAAAAATAACTACGATCACTAGATTAGGTCTATCCTATGGTCCTTTAGCCGGTTGTTCTGTTGTAAGTAAATTCATTTTTTGATAATATCTGATGATAACCTTCGTGAACTACGTGCCGGGTGGGGGCATTGAGGAGATGACTCCTTCGCCCTGGCCTGTGTACTGTGGCTCTGGCATATCATGTTCACTGTTACGGCAGTTTTCTTGTGTCTCCTTTTGGTTTCTATTATTCTCCTTGTTCTGTTTTCTCTTTTCATTTTCAGTCTTTGAGTTTTCCGCTTTTGAGTTCGTATTTGGGGCTTGAGAATTTCCAGGACTGGTTATATTCATTGGACTTACCGACCTAAAAAAATGAGTCAATGGAAACTTGTTTCAGCCAAAATAAACTTTTATAATGCGTTTTGAGTTAATATTACCATTACATATAAATGCTTACTTGGCAGCTGCAAGAGACTTCATTGCAGCCACACCAACACCAAATGTGGCAACTGCCCCTACAGCACCAGCAACACCAGCAGCCGCTGCTTTCCACGTGACCACAGAACATGTGGGTTTGTTGTTATGATATACACATTCTCTAAGACCCCCGCAGCTCAGCTTATCACAACTAGATTCTGCAAATCCCAGCAATACATATATTATCTGTATTAAGCTCTTTTATATATTATACTGACTATCACAGAACCCACTAAAAAGTCCAAATTATTGTAATGATTCTAAATAAAAAACGTAGTATTCACCTTCGGAGGAAGTTTCTAAGCTGACTTGTATTGATGTGCTAGTTGTTGTTCCATCTATGTTAGTGACCTTACATCGATAATATCCTGAGTCGTCGTTAGTGATGTTAAATATAGATAAAGAAGGAGTTGCAATCGAACCCCCTTCGAACTTATTGTTCGATGATATGTCGATTTCAGTGAACGACGAATCATCAATACCTTGCTTCTCCCATACTATTGTTGAGTTATTCTCTGTTTCAGATAGCATCACGGACAAGGTAAGATTGCCACCTTTATTTACTGTGTATGATGTGACAGGTACAGTTAAAGTTGCAAGTTCTGAAAGATAAAATTTAACCATTTTTCTTTTAAACTGCAAATCTTTTTGTAAATTCATAATTTATCATCAGGAAGTTAATACAAAATAAATGTTGTAATGTAAATTTTATTATAATTCTCACGGACTTAACTCAAAATTTAGCTCACTTATATGACATGCTGCTTGTAAAAGATTTTTTTCAAATATTTTTCTGTTATAATACAAATTAGCTCACACATGTAATTACGTTTTTGAACACTGATGTTAAATAAAGGAGTTGTTGACATTCCATCGTTGTTGATGACGTTACATCGATAATAACCACTGTCCTCCACCATCGCATGGACTATTTCCAGATATGGTCTATCGATGGAGCCGCCATTGTATCGATCATTGTCGGTAATATTTACTGTATAAAATGTAAAGGGATAGGTTATACTTCGTTTCTCCCAGGTGACCGACTTCATTTCCGGTCCGGAAGTGTAATTGACATGGAGGGTTGCGTTAGCCCTTGTTTTGACTGTAATGGACGTTTTCCCAACTGATATATCTGGAAGGGCTGTAAAAAAGCAATTGATAAATGTAATAAATTTAAGTATTTGTTTGTTGAACTTTTTGAAATTAGGAACGTCTTATCTTATGCTATATTTCTGATAAGATATAGTTAAAGTCTTCGACTTTTGTACGATCGTCGGAAGAAAAACTTAGATTTCTTCGAACAAATATGAATATTTTCAGAGGATCATATAAAACATTACATGTATCAGCTTACTAGTTTCAATTCTTATATTAAAGGAAGAGCTTGTTGTTGTTCCATCACGATTTGACACTGCACATCTATAAAACCCGTTGTCATTGTTGGTCACATTTTTTATTGTCAGAGATGGAGATGACAATGTTCCTCCTGAGTATTTCGAAACGGACGTAATATTAAGCGGTGCATACGTATTATTCAAATGAGAGTTCATCGTATATTCCCATGAAACCGAGAATAAGGGAAGATATGAAGTTACATTGATATCGAGTGTAATATTAACCCATCTCCATGAGACAAATGATGTTGTACCCTCTAAAATATTTGGAAGACCTGCAACAGAAAGAAAAGATTAATCTGGATGACTTACGACAGAAAATAAAAATTCGCTAATACATGTATATATAAGTCTAATGTTAGCTAAAACATCTTTTACCCTCTAAGGGTGCCCATCACTCTGTCAAGGGTTTTAAGTTTATACATGTAGCCGATGAATTGTTCGCTTTTTATCATTAAGAGTGTATTTGTATTTCAAACTATTTTGCTTAATTTTGTAGCTTTTTGTTCTTCAATTATCAATTACTAACGTGGAACGACGTCGACGTAAACTGTTCTCGTTGTTGCCCCATCGTTGTTTGTAGCTCTTACACGATAATGAGTTTCGTCCGTCAGATCAACATGTATAATCGTCAAGGATGGTGATAGAATTTCTCCACCAGTATAACGATTATTAGACAGTATGTTGATAAGTTCGTAGACGTTTGTGCTTGTGTTTCTTCTTTCCCACGTCACGTTAGTGATAGGCAGGACGGATGTGATGTTTGTTTCAAGAGTAAGGTTTTCACCGGAATTAATACTATAACTAGATTTTAGTAAAATGGATGGTGGACCTGAAAAGAAGATTTTTCTCTTTTCCTTTAAATCTTAAAAATTCATAATCATAAAAAAAAATCATTTATTCTACAGTACGCTGTACTTTAAGACTTTCAAGAAATGTTTCATCTTCATTTGATTTTGAATAAACCATTATGCTTTCTCTTATGTACATGCATGTACATGTACTAAATCATTGAAAAGAGAAGCTAGAGATGCACTTCATGTCAGCTCAATTTTCTATAAAGATTTGTATATGATTAAAAAATACTTACGTAACAAGACATCAATGTAAACTGCACTCGTTGTTGTGCCATCGTCGTTTGTGGCGCTAACACGGTAATACGTCTCATCATTTACAGTAATATCTGCTATAGTCAGCGATGGGGAATTAATATCGCCGCCGGAATATCGATTATCTGACGATACATCGATTATTTCGTATATAAATGTACTGATGTTCCTTCTCTCCCAAGTGACATCTGTGATGTTCAAGGAGGATATGATACTTGTCTGCATCGTGACGTTTTCTCCTGTATAAACATAATACCTCGAGGATAGTGAGATGGATGGTCGGTCTGGGAAAAAAACAAATATACATTTACTATTAGATTAAGAAACTTACAACTAAATAATGTTTATGTACATGAATTGCAGCCGAATTAGGCTTTTTCATATTTTGTTAATTTAATGATAATTGTCAAATAAACTCATAAAACAGCATGAGGAAATTACGGAACATATAACTGCTCCAAAATTATGTAAGTGTACTGCAGAAAAATATAATAGTAGATGTAAAATACATCCGAATATGTGGGAAATGCCTTGATAACTCACATTATAGCCCACAGATGAGACTACAATATTAACTCTTCTTTATGATTTTTAACCAGTTAAAAAAACTTACATCGCTTAATAGATATTCCGAACTGGCTGCTGTACCTATCTCCATCAATATTTGAAACCTTACATCGATAATACGTGTAATCGTCCTCCAACGATATACCAGTAATATTTAATGATGGTGAGTCAATGGTTCCACCGATATATCTTCCGTCGTTCACTACATCGATTGGTTCAAAAGTGGATACTGATGAATTTCTTTTCTCCCAAATTACTGAAGTGACCTTAAGAACGGATGTGTAACTGAGTGAAAGTGTTATGTTCGTTCCTCTGTCGATGTAGAAAAACCTTGTCCCTGTTGATATTGACGGAAGCCCTAAGGAAAAAAAATACAGGATGCATAATAATTTGCTTATTCTAAAAGTGTGCTTAAAATAGAAGACAATTTTCAGGCATTGCATGCAGTGTCATGCGACTTATTTGATCTATTTTAAATGAGATGTGCCACATTCAGAAATTTAAAATGCATTTGTCTTGAAATATCTATCTAAAAAAATAAGACAACTCAATTTTCACAAATCAGATAGCTCCACAATTTTAGGATAACTAAAAACCATCATTTTTTCAGCAGAATTTGTAACTGTCAGCAGCTGCTCTAGAGAAGACATCTAACCCAAATCATCTATATCCGCAGATAGACAAAACTTGGCAAACACCCTTTATTTAGATGGATTAAAGGTTAAAAGGTTTTTATTGAATTCAAACTAAAAGTACTATCAGCGCTGAGCTTACAAAATGAAACCCCTGGTCCAAAATGAATATGATGGCAAATTTTCTTTTGCTATTTGTGTCTTCTTAGTACAAATATAAATAAGGCAATGCACAAGGCATCGTAAAAATTTTTATTTCATTTTATGCAGCGGTAGAGGATGAGCTGCATATAAATTTCAAATATTATAGAGAGAATAGCATGGTCATGTTTTGCTTTCGAAAACCCAAAATATGTGTCCAATTGAAACGTATAATAGAACTTGCTTTACGCTACTAAGTTATAAAGCGTAATAAAAAAGCATTAGAATTTCATTCAGTGCTTTAAGAATAATCGCGAATAAGAGATGACTACCCATTACTACAAACTCCACCCAAACTTTTCAGATGGGTTAAATAAAGAATGGAATGTTTTGTCAAATACATCACTTACTTGGAGTGACTGATAAATAGAAGCTTGAGCTATATGTAACACCGTCGATGTTTTCAACTGCACACCTATAGTGTCCGCTGTCTGTAACCAATACATTTTTTATTACAAAATCAGGTGATCCAAATTGGCCTCCATAAAATCTTTGGTCAACGGTCGTATTAAGTGTATAGTAATTGTATGGGTAGGAGGAATTTCGTTTTTCCCATTTTATTGATAATAAAGTAGTAAACGATGTAATGTTGACTTCAAATGTGACATTTCCACCAGAATTCACGTACAAATTCCTTGTTCCAGTAGTAACAGACGGGCGTCCTAAAAAACGTTTTAACATTGTAAATATTTTTACGCAGATCATACTAAAGTAACATACATGTAAAGGTATGTAATTGAATTTGAATCAAATAACCCAGTTCAGTACATATATAAAATAGGCCGTGCACGACAACAATTTTAAAATCTCACTACATTCTGTTCAGTAGTAGAGTATACTGTAAAATCATATATTTTCGTGGGGTCGAATTTCCGTGGTTTGAGAAAAAACTATGGGTTTGTAGGGATTTGATTTCGTGGATGAAGAATTGCTGAGTAGTTAAGTATGTGACATTTTGCATTTCGTGGTGGACATGAATTCTTGGGTCTCTTCGTATCTCAAAAACAACGAAAATTAAATCCCCACGAAAATTAGTGATTTCACAGTAAACTTCATATAAGACCCTTATATTATCGAAAGAATGGCATGATCATCTTTTGCTTTCGAATACCCCAAATATGTGTCCGATTGAATAGTATAAAATGACTTGCGCAATGCCACTAAGAATTTAAGATTCTGCAAAAATTACATTAAAATTTCATTCAGTGGTTTAAGAATAGTAGCGAATAAGGGATGGCTACCCTTAAGTGTTACGGACATATAAACTGAAAACTCCGTTGATCCATTACTACAAACTCAACCCAAACTTTTCAGATGGGGTTTTAATAAAGAATGGAATGTTTTGTAAAACACATTACTTACTCGCAGTGACTAACAAATAGAAACTAGAGCTATATGTAACACCGTCGCTGTTTTCCACTGCACACCTGTAATATCCGTTGTCTGTAACCATTACATTTTTTATTACAAAATCAGGTGATCCCAATTGGCCTCCATCAAATCTTTCGTTATCGGTCGTATTAAGTGTATAGTAGGAGAAATTGAGTTTTTCCCATTTTACCGATAATAAAGTTGACAATGAGGTAATATTGACTTCAAATGTAACATTTTCACCAGAATTCACGTAGAAATTCCTTGTTCCAGTAGTAACTGACGGGCGTCCTAAAATATAACGTTTTAAAATTATGAATAATTTTAAGGAGATCATTATCAAATAACATTCACCTGGAGTTATAAATACAAATCTGTATCAAATAACCTGGTTCGAAAGAAAAAGAAGAGAGAGAGAGAGAAAAAAAATGCAGTAAACTTACGGAGATTTAAACCCAAATAGAATGTTATGCTCGTTGTACCGTCTATATTTGTTGCGTTGAACCTAAAATATCCAGCATCTACCCCACGGACACTGTTAAAAGTCAGCGAGGGGTCGTTGATTAAACCACCAGAGAATCTGCTGTCTGTTGTATCAATTAAGGTATATGTGTATGGGTAATTGCTGCGTTTCTCCCAACTGACCGACACCAATGGTAACTCGGATGTGATATTAACCTCAAATGTGAGATTAGTTTCCGAATAGATGTTGTAAAAGTATTTCTGCTGCGTTGTTATAATAGGTAAGCCTATAAAAAGTTGTTGAGATGGAAATATTTAAAAGTTTTTAAAGAATCCAAAAATTTAAAGAAAAAAAGCGCAAAAATGACTTTACAATTTTCACTTACGAATATTAACATTCATGTAAATGCTCGAACTTATAGTTGTGCCGTCAGCGTTAGACACATTTAGACGGTAATACCCATTATCCTCCATGCTGACGTTACGAATGATGAGAGACGGAGAATCAAGTGAACCACCGTCGTATTTGCCATCTGATGTCATATTCACGTCATTAAAGTTGTAGTAGGAAGAACTTCTCTGCCACGACATACTTAAAAGATCGGGGTTGGCATAAACATATACGGAAAGTATGACATCATCATTCTTGTTGACAGTGTAGCTGGTTGAGTTCAGAACAATGTAACGCCCTGAAAGCAAATTAAGAGCTGGTAATTATTTTTTAAAAGTTGTCATTCGCAATACAAACCTTCCGTTTAAATGCAATGATTACTTCAAGTATTTTGTTTAAATAAATTTTAAATTTACATTCACTAAAAACTTTTCAAAGGAAAGAAAGAACGCACAAACGCTTGTCACATCGAAGGTATTATGTCAGTTCACAAGTTTATATTTCTCCTTTATGCATTTCGGTAAGATAAAGAGATATAGAAAGAGAGGGCGAGAAAGAAGGAGAGAAAATAGCTCTTACAACTTACCAACTATGTTTACATTGACTGGTGTGCTGTAACCAATACCGTTTGAATTGTTTGCATAACATCTGTAGTTACCAATGTCGGATGGACTGAAACTGTAAACTCTTAAAGACGGGTAATATGTAGTAGACCCATAATATTTAGATGAGGATACGTCTATTTCCGTTTCGTTTTCCTGACCCTGGAGTTGCACTCTCCAGGAAACACTAGTGACACCGAAACCGAACACTTGACAAGGAATAGTGACGGTGTAGCTAAGTCCCGTGGTGATGTTTGATCCCACTAGTACTGCAGGTGCATCTAAAAATGTATAAAATTCGGGAAACAAACCAAAAAATAAACTGAAGTTTCGTGATTGGACGCAAATAAAATTAGAATGATTAAAACACTAGAATCGAGAAATGTTTAATGAGAAGCCAAAAGGTGATCACTTAGAAATTTTCGCTATTTCTTCAAAGGAGTGCTACATTGGTTAATAGGTCTTTCAATGATAAACAAGTAATGCTTTTCAAAAAGCTTGCCTGATTAAGCAATTGATATCTCTAGAACATACAAGCATAATAAGAAATAAATATTTCTGTCCATTTTTGGGGGGCGAAGGGTAATATTTCATTTCCTTACATTTTAAAAACTTTATACAAAACATAATGAATTTTTCATCTTAACTTTTATGCAACTCATCAGAAGAATGGAAACTTATTGGAAAGTGAACATCTAGGTAGAGATATTTATTTATCTCAAATAATAGGTATGCAAGTGGAATGTATATGCATATTATGGATAACCTGTGCTGGGAAGCTGTGTTTGTTTAAAGTTTACATGAATCAATTTCAATTGCATAGCAGATTAAAAATGCCGATAGACAGCTGAAAATATGGTAGTTACTCATAATACCATTAATTGAAATAATTTAAAATGAATATGGAAACTGATTTGTGGCGTGCACTTTTATGTATATTTATATTTCCGATAATATTGATCTCAGAATTTTGAAGACAAATACGTTTGATGTGAGCAAATCAGAAATGTTTGAAAGTTACATTGCATATTGTACGATTGATGAAGTGTCAACTAAATATTTTAAGATAGAAACAGCAATGGATTTTGTCTAGTACCTCCAAATAAGTATACTGCGATGTCCGAGCTATTCCTGGATCCATAGTGATTATACACAGAACAGTGATAAAAACCTTGATCTTCTCGCTGGAAATTCGTTATGTTGAGGTTTGGAGAATTAATTGTTCCGCCAGAGAGTTTGCCATTCTGCACTGGATCGATTGCTACATCATCTTTGTACCAACTAACTTCAACCACGGGAGGATAACTGGAGGAAAAATTGCACGACAGGGACACACTATCGCTAGCGTTGACGGCGTAATTTGTGGTTACCGTTGATAAAACAGGATAACCTATTTTTAGGGGGAAAAAGAATTAAAATTGAATGAATATCTTTCCTCTCAAGTACTTCTATTCGATTGTATAATATGTTGACGATAGACCTTTAGGGCGATTGCAGATACCTATTCAGATTTAATATTTTGATCCGTCCTTCAAACTGCACATTTCATTTGATACTTGACTATGACGTCACATGACGTCGTATGTAAGTTGCATTACCAAAGCGTAGAATGAAAAGTGCTAATTGAAAAAAAAAGAATGTTTAATCTACTATTTAAATCAACGTGAATTTTCTTGTTGTTGCTGTTGTTGAACGTAGTTCGCGGCGAGATGCAATTCGCAGAGGATTTTAGGTTTTAAGGTTACTGCGGGAAAAAATCATTTTGATTAAAAATTCCAAAGTCCAAATTTCCTCTCAAATAAGGCGTTGCTTTAAATGATCGCAGTGACGAGAAGGAATCGCGCCGCGAGCTTTTATGCTTCCTTGAAAGCGAGATTAAAATTCTTGTATTCGCGGTCCATCATGTACTTAAACTAATCATTTTGTCTCCATATATTCTTTTTAAAAGCAAATGACAACTGAATTAAATTTAAAATCTTGTATCCTGATATAAAAAAAACAACTTAAGAGTAACAGAGACAGAGTAGTATTGCAAACATGGAAAAATGCTTACCTCGTCGCAAGTCAAGAAATATCATTGATGCACTTTGACCTATTCCTGCTGAGTTTTGAGCCAAACATCTATAGTTTCCTATATCTTCAACCTTCACGTTTTTTACGGTAAGAGAGGGTGTCCCTACAGTGCCGCCGCTATATTTAGTTGTATTACCAGTATTTATGATGGTTGTGACGCCGTTTTTCTGGTAGTGCCATGTAACAAAAGACACAGTTGTCGTGCTTGACACGTAACAATTGAGTATGGCGGACGATCCAACATATACTGTAAGACTGTTTCCTAACGTTACATTTGGTAGGCCTATTATTAAAGTTATATTGTCAGTGCCTATTGTATATATTTTAATAAAGCAAAATGTATTATTGATTTCTTTTATCACTTTTATATCATACTTACCCGGGACATAGCAGTTAGGGTCTGTATTTCCGGCCAGACAGTGACACACATAATTCCCGAACTGATCTTCGCATGTCCCACCATTAAGACAAGGCTCACTTAAGCAATCGTTAATGTCTACAAGAAAAGTTTTAATAAAACAGGTTACATGTCACAAGCAAACAGAACAATTATTGCAATGAAAAGAATGTTATGTAACAAACCATCGGCGCAGGTCCCTTTCGACAATTCATTCGTTAACAGTGGTAGTAGATCAAATGTTGTCAAATACGTGTAGTCGTTGTGCGTGGCTACTGATCTTAGAACAGCTGAATTTATTCCAGTTCCTACCCCGACACAGAATATCGTGACCCCGATTGCTTTTAGTTGGTCGGGCTGGTTGGACAGGGAACTTTGTCCATCGGTGATCAGAACAACAATTTTTGCCGAATCATTTCTTGCTCCGCTGGAAGAATTAAAGGAATACATTCGGGCATAATCAAGGGCACTTCCTATGCTCGTTCCCCCGCTGTTGAATGAAATGGAAGTTATAGCAGATTGAAGGCCAGATACTGTGTGATATCTGTTGAGTGGAAATATTTCTCTAGAAGAGGACGCAAAGTTGACTACACTGAATTGATTTGAATTGTTTCCTACTTTGAAGTGACCTACAACGGAGCTGACGAATGTCTTGATTCGTTCAAAGTTTAGCGATCCGATACTGCCAGACTCATCTAGTAGAAAAACTATGTCTCCCTTCGAAACGCACACCCCTTATTGAAAAAGAAAAAAAAAATTTTGTTTTTATTCTCGATTAAAGTTGTCTCTATGTGCCTTTTAATGGATATAAAACTTGTTTCTAGTTATCCAAAATGTAGACCGTCTTGATATTCACAAATTCAATTGATAAATTTGTCATCAACACTAGAGTTTCTGTTTGTAGCATGTTTGATTCACATATTCAATGATTTGAAATAATTTATGTCGCTTGAATTGTGCGAATTTAAGAGATAATGTAGGACTATTTCACGAACCATTTAATAAAATTAAAATCAAATTATGTCGTCACTCTTTCGTGTGAGTGCTCCATTACTTTTCAAGAATGGTGAGTTGCAATTTACATTAAATTTTTTTTTGTTATGTGCAGATTATCCTTCCCGTGCCCTTATCAGGGAAAGAACTTAGAAAATGTTATAAAATGATATTTATTTTCATATGGAGGAAAAATGTGTATTATTCTGGAGGGTCGAACTCGGTACCTTCACTTCCATACTTGAACACTCATCTCACTACGCTATCGAAACTGTTGAAAGACGGAGGTTTTAAATAACTCCGTAACACTTTCTTCGCCATACTCTCTCTTCATATAAATTTAATAACATAAACATGTTAAATGTATATTTAAGTGTATCTTAATAAAATTGATCTTTGCTATATTGAAAATAATAATTACGAGCATTTAAAACAGTGCATTTTAAGCAGGCCAATATACGAATAGCGCTCCATTCTTTAAAAGCAACGGGTTTCGGCCACTTCGGGGGCTCGTCTGCATTACTATTAAGGAATTGAGCGCTACTCGTATATTAAGATTTAGATATCGAGCTTCACTATTAAGCTTAAAAACATTTAAAGTATGTTTCATGATCTCGGGACCAGCAAAATATATGAATTCCCAATAAATTTTCATAATGTCTGAAGTCCTACGAACGTAGAGCCAATGAATTATAAGTAAACCTGATCTTTTGCTTATTCATACGATTCATTAGAATTCTATCTAGGTTTGAAAGATCGTTGTCAAAACTGACGTAGTTTAGCTCTTTTACAGTTTTATTGCTAACTGAAACTGAAACATCCCAAAAAGAATCGTTCTATATTTCGTTTGGACTTAAGGAAATGTTTGCTTACAGAAATAATCTGAAAACATAAAACTCTGCTAATTTTTAATTTGAAATAATAATACATCTTCATTTAAATGAACTCCAAAAACAGCAACATGTTAATGATGACCATTACCCAGGGTTTTAGTTGACTTTTTCTTAATGGACAAAATGTCATAACTCAGTATCAATTTAAAAAATGATATTTTTTTTCTTTGAAGAAAATATGCTAGAACAAAAGTAAATTGATGGTGATGGAGAGGAAATTATGACTAAATATTAACTTTAATTTTTTCTTGCAATTTTATTCAAAAAGTTAATGTGCTTTTAAACACCATTTTGCAAATTTTATATGTGTTTAAGCTCATTTATCATAAATTTCAATTAATTAAATGACATGTAATGAAGAATGTTATGAACAAAAACCATTCCAGACGACATATCTCAAGAATTTCATCTTCGAGCTCATATAGCTTTTATACCAGCATAATGAGAGTAACAAAAATAAACTTATCTTAGAAACAGTTTAGAGCTCTTATCATTAAGATTTTTGTAATATTAGAACCATTCCCCACGATAAATTAAAGTCCAGGCTTTTTGATATCATTGACAGCTGCTTTTTCAATAAAAATGGAACTCGTAAATATACTTACCTTGTCATTGGTCATTTGCAAAATTATTTTGTTAAAAAACATTCTGATTGTACACACAAGTACTCTGAAGTTGACATTAAAAAGATGCTTGAGTTTCTAATTGACAATATCTATGTGGTTTTTGGAGACCAGGTCTTCCAACAATCTATTGGAATACCTATGGGTACCAATTGCGCCCCGTTATTAGCAGACCTTTTTTTGTATTCATATGAAGCAGAATTTGTCCAAAATCTTGTACGTGAAAAGAAGAAAACACTTGCTGTGGCGTTCAACTCGACATTTAGATATATCGACGACGTATTGTCAATTAACAATGGCTATTTTCATTCTTATGTCGATACGATATATCCTGGTGAACTTGAGATAAAAGATACCACAGAGTCTGACACATCTGTTTCATATTTGGATATTTTACTTGAAAAAGACGTTAATGGTAATCTAACAACCAAGCTTTATGATAAACGTGATGACTTTAACTTTTCAATCGTCAACTTCCCTTACTTATGCAGCAATATACCTTCATCACCTGCAAACGGGGTATATATCTCTCAGTTGATTCGATACGCAAGAGCATGCTCTACGTATGTACAATTTCTAAAACGGGGTAAATTATTGACAAATAAGTTGATGAAACAAGAATATCAGCTGTCTCGTTTAAAGTCATCATTTCGTAAGTTCTATGGTCGATACAATGACCTTGTCAGCAAATACAATTTATCATTGAGTCAAATGCTGACTGACGTTTTTCATACTAATTGTTAGGCCAGTATTTACACATTGAATTGTCGACGGATTTTTCCGTTATTTCCCGATCATGACAAGGAGCACACGGCGGGTGTGACCGGTCGGCAGGGGATGCTCGCTCCTCCATGGCACCTGATCCCACCTCTGATGTTTGGAGGTCCGTGTTTGCTCTGCTCCTATTTTGTATTGTATAATGGACTTTTGAGCTTGAATACTGCTCGTTATCTCCATATATTTCATTAAAAATGGGTATAATTTGAAAATAAGTCAGATGCTAAATGACGTTTTTCATACTAATTGTTAGGCTATTATTTACACATTGAATTGTCGACGGATTTTTCCGTTATTTACCGATCATGACAAGAAGCACACGGCGGATGTGACCGGTCGGCAGGGGATGCTCACTCCTCCAAGGCACCTGATCCCACCTCTGATGTTTTTGAAGGTCCCTGTTTGCTCTGCTCCCGATTTGTATTGTTTTAATGGAATTTGAGCTTGAATACTGTTCGTTATCTCCATATTATATAGACAGAAGAAATTTGGCCTGAAATAATTAAGAGATCAATAGTTTATACTCTAATTGTTTATTTATATTTAGCGAAACTATTCCATTCATATTATATTTCATTATCCGAAGAGTTTTGTTATTTGATACATTTTGTTGATAAAGAAAATATTGGTGTAAGTAGAAAATTGAGGTATTTTCCGAGAAATACTCATGGGCCACAAGTACGAGAAGTAGGTAATTGATCTAGTTACTTGAAAGTGAATAATATCACTACAATCATATGTCTACAATGAAAAATACGTGGTTTTTCATTCTTATCAGTAGAATTTGTGTCATCTGAGTAATATTCATCCTGAAAAAGCATTTTAATATACTAGTAATATGAATTTGTCAGATGTCTTTAGTGACTGTGACAGAAATCTTGTCGTTCGCATTGAATTACACAATTACGCTTAGCCTAATAATTAAAATTAAGATTTGCACATTCTTTAAGACCCCTTCATCATAGTCTGACAAAACTAGATTCTGCAAATCCCGAATATAAATATATATCAATAAATATATATATGACTCTAAAGTGCGATGATCACGACAAAAACCGATGGTCTGCGCCAAACCCTGATAGTTTGACACGCTGAAGTCCGATGGTGCGGAATATATATATATATATATATATATATATATATATATATATATATATATATATATATATATATATATATATATATATATATATATATATATATATATATATATATATATAGTGGCGCCTCGTTTATCCGGACGCCTCTGTCCCCAACGAAATCATCCGGATAAATGAATCGTCCGGATAATTTAATCACATCTCAAAAAGCACTCTCTAAGCATGTATATATGCACTTTCTTGTTTCAAATGTGACGGCAAAAAAAAAAAAAAAAAAAAAAAGAAAGAAAAAAAACTTTTAAATTATATTTTTGTTAATTGTTTTAAAAGCGGTAATTGATTCATGAAAAAATATATTAAAATGTAATTTACACAATAAAAAAAAATGGATGGGCAATTTTATGCCGAGACCTTTTTTAATTCGCCTTCTCTCTGGCATGTGACTTCATGGGTTGAGCAAATTTTGATCTACTGTTTTATTTTGCCAAATATTATAATTATTGAAGCTCGTATGATATTACAGAACTGTTCAGCATCATCATAGAAAATGTTCAAATATAAACTAACCCTCTATATTCCCCGTATATTCATTACACAGGGTTACTATAAAATTAACAGAACACTGCAAACTAACTCAAACAAAGTGCATGTATTAAAAACATTTGTAAACGCAAGCCATCTTCATGATTATCGATATTTTTTTCTGCAGACGCTAAGTTTGAATTTCAATCATTGAAAAATACCTTGAAAAACGTAATCAACTTCTGTACGTAACGCCAGTTTTATATTGGACGTTTGTAAACGGTAGTACATTAAATAGAGATATTTCTTCAGTTATGTACCTTTCTATACTAGTACTATCCTGTGGGAAAAGAAAGCGTTTCAAATACATTTACGTTTTTTCTTAGAAATGGAACATCGTATTTTAGTCTAACGCAATCGACATGATAAAGAGCATTACGAAATCGCTCATTTTTTATTGTTCATTTTATTTACAACTCTCCAAAATTCTGCTGAATTTACCGATGTATATACGGTTAGCAATATGATTTTGAACGGATTATTTTTTAATTAATGCACAGTGTCAGCTAAATTCTTTGAGCTTCATAAATGAGATAAACGTTTGATTGAATTGGGGTAAACACACGATAATTATAGACGCTATTGTTTGTAGGTCACAGGTAACCGCCTTCAAACTGACTGCATGGCCAATGTTTTTACAACAATTAACACGAATGCAAGAAAAGTGTGAAAATGACGTTTCTTGAAAAATTACCGTCCGGATAAACGAGTCATTTTTCAATGAACTATTATGTTTTGTAGTAGAAATTGACCGTCCGGATACGGAACGCGAATTTCCGGATTAATGAGACAAAATAACGTGGAAAAATCGGTTCCCAAAAAATATCATCCGGATGGTGAAGCGTCCGGATAAATGGCGTCCGGATAAACGCGGCGCCACTGTATATATATATATATATATATATATATATATATATATATATATATATATATATATATGACTCCAAAGTGCGATGATAAAGACAAAGAATAGGTCTGCGCCAAACCTTGATGGTTTGACACGCCAAAGTCCGATGGTGCGGAAAAACAATTAACATTTGTGACGTCATAGTACTACTGCGCCAAATTGCGATCCCGCACCATGCCAAGACCTAAAAAAATACAAATAAATATATTATGCGAGGACTAACCCTTATCTCTCGGAGAGGTGCAAGACTAACCCTAATCGGTCGAAAAGTGTGTAAGAACTATAACCTAGATATCATGGGTGGATGCGAGACCAAGAAGTCGAATAATGTTCGAGGACTGACGTTTAATCTCTCGGATTTATGCGAAGCTATCCTATAATCAGTTCAAAAGTGTGCAAGGACTAACCCTAAGCAGTCGAGTAGAAAGCGAGGACTAACCTAATATCTCTGGTGGGTGCAAGCAATAAGTAAAATCAGTGAAATTGTATGCAAGGACAAATACTGAATTGATGGCTTTTGAATGCAGGACAACGGCGTCAAGGATTGACGTCAGAATATTGTGGGAAAAGAGCTATCGGACTGTGGCGTGACCATCGGACTTTGGAGTCTTTCATATATATATATATATATATATATATATATATATATATATATATATATATATATATATATATATATATATATATATCTGTGTGTGTGTGAGTGTGTGCGTGTGTGTGTGTGTGTGTGAGAGAGGGTGTGTGTGCGTGTGTGAGGATGTGTGTGTGGGCGTGTGTGTGCTTTTTATATAATTGTATCTAGAATGTTTGTTCTTTCAAAATTTTACTCTCGTTACTAATAAATCTATTTGAAATCTCGAATTACATGTATATTGTCCTTTTAAAACTATGAGTAATCACCTTTAGATGAATCTTCTAAGCTGACCTGTATCGATGTACTTGTCGTCATTCCATCAATGTTAGTAACCTTACATCGATAATATCCAAAATCATCGCCGGTGATGTTCCATAAAGATAATGAGGGAAATGCCAAAGATCCCCCTTCGTATCTCTCATTTGACGATATGTCGATTACTGCAAACGATGAATCTTGAATACCTTGTTTCTCCCATACTATCGTCGAGTTGATTTCAGTGCCAGAAAGGGCTACAGACAAGGTAAGGTTGTCACCTTGATTTGCTGTGTATGATGTGACGGATACATTTATAGTTGCAAGCTCTGAAAAAGTAAAATGCAACCATTTTCCCCAGAAGGTAAAAATGAAGAATTGAATAGAAAGGATAATATAAAGATATACTGATTAACCTAAAATTTTTAATATTCGCTTTCTTATGCCTTTTAGAGAGGTTAAAAAACACATTTTATAATTTAATTAATCCGTATAAACCATCTTAAATTCTCAATTTATCAATTAGTACAAAATGCAGAAATTGACGTGCAATAACTGCAATAACGTCAACTGTCACCCATTTCTTTCAACATTGACATGCATCTTGTGAAACTTGTTTCAAATAATTTCTGTTTTATTACACAAATCCCAATAATTACGTTTTTGAAGTTTGACGTCAAACAAAGGAGTTGTCGACATTCCATCGTCGTTGACAATTTTACATCGATAATAACCACTGTCTTCAAATACTGCATGGGCGATCTCAAGATTTGGTCTATCGATTGTGCCGCCGTTGTATCGATCATTGATAGTAATATTTACTGTATGAAATGCATATGGATAGGTGGTACTTCGTTTTTCCCAGGTGACTGACCTCATTTCCGGTCCCGAAGTATAATTGATGTGAAGGGTGATGCTAGATCTTGTTTTGGTCGAAATTGTCGTTTCGCCAACTGATATCACAGGCAGACCTGTAGAAATGCATATCAGGACACTCATTTGTACTTATTTGACGAAAATGATTACTAGGTTACATTATTTTGTCTGTATCGATATAAAATTTTTCATGGAAGAACGTTTATCGAATAACTATAAATTTTGACTGAAGATTATCGAAACATGAGCTTACTGGTTTCAATTCTAATGCTAAAGGAAGAACTTGTTGATGTTCCATCACGATTTGACACTGCACATCTATAGAAGCCATTGTCAGCGCTTGTTACATTGTTTATTGTCAGAGAGGGAGAGGATATTGTTCCTCCAGAGTACCTCGAAACCAATGTAATATCGAGTGGCAAATAAGTATTCCAAGACGAGTTCATCTTATATTCCCATGAAATCCCTATTATTGGTAGATATGATGTCACGTTTACTTCTAGTGAGATATTAACCCATTTCCACGTGATAAATGATTTTGTACCTTCTAAGATATTTGGAGGACCTGCATCACATAATGAAAATTATATGTCACCTGTGTAATATTAACTTAAACATATTTCTCTTTGAGAGTGTCCGATTATTCTGTTCAGGACTATAACTTAATAACTGATAAACTACTAGCTGATTCTTTTATCTTCAAGAATGTATTTAAAGTGATTTTCTTATTTAGTTTTTATAATTACATTTAAATTAAATTGAATTACTAACGTGGGATGACATCAACGTAAACTGTTCTCGTTGTTACCCCATCATTGTTAACAGCTGCAACCCGGTAATACATTTCATCTGTTAGATCCACACGTATAATCGTCAGTGATGGTGAATGAATTTCTCCACCAATATAACGATTATCTGACAGTATATTGATAAGTTCGTACACGTATGTGCTGGTGTTTTTTCTTTCCCATGTCACGTTAGTGATTGGCAGGAAGGATGTGATGATTGTTTCAAGAGTTAAGTTTTCACCGGAATAAATACTATAGTTAGATTCTAATGAAATAGATGGAGGACCTGAAATTTACAAAGTTTTTCTCTAAAGCCCGAATGCAAACATTCTAATTTTTGTTTTACGCCATGTACACTTGATATGCTTTGTGTATATTTTTAAATTTTTTTTTTAAATTTTTGAAATAATTCATACCACTTGTACATCAAACTAATTATTCCGAAGAGTATGATTTTCAATTTCAATTTTTTTCTTTAGTGGTTTGGTTTCTTTGCAAATTCGGTTACGAAAAGATCGCATATATTGGTATTTTTCATAGGTCTGTGCCAAAGTAAAATATAAAATGAGAGCGAGCCCCGCATGTATAATGTATACTTAATCATTGAGAATTGCAGTAATTGTCTTCATATTTTTTTTTTGCTTTAGTGTGTATAACAGAAGAAATACTTACGTAACACGACATCAATGAAGACGGAGCTTGTTGAAGTACCATAGTCGTTTGTGGCGCTAACACGGTAATAAGTCTCATCATTTACAGTGATATCTGTTATTGTCAGCGACGGCGAATTAATATAGCCACCGGAATATCGATTATCAGAAGAGAAATCAATAATTTCGAACAAAAGTGTACTGATGTTTCTTCTCTCCCAGGTGACATTTGTAACTATCAATGAGGATGTGATACTTGTCTGCAGTGTGACATTTTCACCTGCATAAACAGAATAGTTCCAGTACACTGATATTGTTGGTCGGTCTGAAAATTAAAAAATGCACAAAGTTTAATGTATTGTTAAATCAAGAAATTTACAACTACATATTATTGATGAACATACAATTAAATCTGTCATATCGTATTTTTAAATGTGTTAACCATATTTCCATCAATATGAAGACCAGCATTGGGAAATTACTGTGTAATTGTTCACTGTCCTCAAGATATATGAGGTCAATCTTATATTTCACTATCAGAAATATTTCTAAATCTAAATACACCAAAATTTCCTCTAAAGCTCATGACCATTACATGTATTTCATACAGAGAAAACTTAATGTAAAATTCTTTCTGATTGTTAAAGAGTACCTTTAACAGAAAAAGACTTATATCGTTTAACATATATTGCGAACTGGCTGCTGTATCTATCCCCGTCAATATTTGAAACTTTACATCGATAATACGTGTAATCGTCCTCCAACGATATATAGGTTATATTTAGTGATGGTGAGTCGATGGTCCCTCCGATATATCGTCTTTCGTTCACTACATCGATTGGATAGAAAATGTATACGGATGAATTTCTTTTCTCCCAGACTACTGACGTGACGTTAAGAACGGAAGTGTAACTGAGTGAAAGAGTTATGTTCGTTCCTCTCTCGATGTAGAAATACGTTGTCCCTGTTGATATATACGGAAGCCCTTCAAAAAAAAAAATACAGGATGCATATCATTTTGCTGATTCTAAAAGTGTGCTAAAAATGGAAGACAATTTTCAGGCATTGCATGTAGTGTTATGCGACTTATTTGATCTATTTTATATGATATGTGCTACATTTAGAAATTTAAAATGCAGTTTTCTTGAAATATATATCTAAAAGAAAATAAGATAACCCATCTGGCAAAATTCAGATATCTTCACAATTTTAGAATAACTAAAAAAAAAAAACATTTCTTGAGCAGAATTTGTAACTGTCAGCAGCTGCTCTAGAGAAGATATATCTAACCGAAAACATCTATATCCGCAGATAGACAACAAAATTTGGCAAAAACCTTTTATTTAGATGAACTAAAGATTATTAAATTCAAACCAAAAGAACTATCAGCGCTGAGCTTATAAAATGAAACCCCTGTTCCCAAATGAATATGATGGCAAAGTTCCTTTTGCTATATATATATATATATATATATATATATATATATATATATATATATATATATATATATATATATATATATATATATATATATATGTGTGTGTGTGTGTGTGTGTGTGTGTGTGTGTGTGTGTGTGTGTGTGTGTGTGTGTGAGGGTGTGTGTGTGTGTGTGTGTCTTCTTACTACGTATATAAAATAGGCGATGCATAACAGCATCGTAAAAATTTTATTACATTTTATTCAGCGGTAGAGGATGAGCTGTATATAAACTTTAAATGTTATAGAGAGAATAGCATGGTCATGTTTTGCTTTCGAAAACAAATATGTGTCCAATTGAAACGTATATTAGAACTTGCTTAACGCTACTAAGTAATAAAGCGAAATAAAAAAAATTATTAAAATTTCATTCAGAGATTTAAGAATAGTAGCGAATCAGGGATCACTTCCCATTACTATAAACTTTTCAGATGGGGTTTAATAAATAAATGGAATGCTTTGTTAAATACATCACTTACTTGGAGTGACTGATAAATAGAAGCTAGAGCTATATGTAACACCGTCGATGTTTTCAACTGCACACCTATAATGTCCGCTGTCTGTAACCAATACATTTTTTATAACAAAATCAGGTGATCCAAATTGGCCTCCATCAAATTTTTGATCATCCGTCTTATTAAGTGTATAGTAATTGTACGGGTAGGAGGAATTTCGTTTTTCCCATTTTATCGATAATAAAGTAGTAAACGATGTAATGTTGACTTCAAATGTGACATTTCCACCAGAATTCACGTAGAAATTCCTTGTTCCAGTAGTAACAGATGGGCGTCCTAAAAAGAACGTTTAAATATTATGAATATTTTAAGGAGATCATACTCAAATAGCATACATGTATAGGTATGTATCTAAATCTGAATCAAATAACTCGGTTCAGGACATATATAAAATAGTCTGTGCACGACTGCACTTAGAAAATCTCCGTTGATCCATTACTACAAACCCCAACCAAACTTATCAGATGGGGGTTTAATAAAGAATGGAATGCTTTGTCAAATACATCACTTACTCGGAGTGACTGATAAATAGAAGCTAGAGCTATATGTAACACCATCGCTGTTTTCCACTGCACACCTGTAATATCCATTGTCTGTAACCATTACATTTTTCATAACAAAATCAGGTGATTCCAATTGGCCTCCATCAAATCTTTCGTTATCGGTCGTATTAAGTGTATAGTAGGAGAAATTGAGTTTTTCCCATTTTACCGATAATAAAATTGACAATGAGGTAATATTGACTTCAAATGTAACATTTTCACCAGAATTCACGTAGAAATTCCTTGTTCCAGTAGTAACTGACGGGCGTCTTAAAATATAACATTTTAAAATTATGAATAATTTTAAGGAGATCATTATCAAATAACATTCACCTGGAGTTATAAATACAAATCTGTATCAAATAACCTGGTTCAAAAGAAAAAGAAGAGATAGAGAATAAAATGCAGTCAACTTACGGAGATTTAAACCCAAATAGAATGTTATGCTCGTTGTACCGTCTATATTTGTTGCGTTGAACCTAAAATATCCAGCATCTACCCCACGGACACTGTTAAAAGTCAGCGAGGGGTCGTTGATTAAACCACCAGAGAATCTGCTGTCTGTTGTATCAATTAAGGAATATGTGTATGGGTAGTTGCTGCGTTTCTCCCAACTGACAGAAACCATGGGTAACTCAGATGTGATATTAACCTCAAATGTGAGATTAGTTTCCGAATAGATGTTGAAAAAGTATCTCTGCTGCGTTGTTATAATAGGTAAGCCTATAAAAAGTTGTTGAGATGGAAATATTTAAAAGTTTTTTAAAAAATAAAAAAAAATTCAAGAAAAAAGCGCAAAAATGACTTTACAATTTTCACTTACGAATATTAACATTCATGTAAATGCTCGAACTTATAGTTGTGCCGTCAGCGTTAGACACATTTAGACGGTAATACCCATTATCCTCCATGCTGACGTTACGAATGATGAGAGACGGAGAATCAAGTGAACCACCGTCGTATTTGCCATCTGATGTCATATTCACGTCATTAAAGTTGTAGTAGGAAGAACTTCTCTGCCACGACATACTTAAAAGATCGGGGTTGGCATAAACATATACGGAAAGTATGACATCATCATTCTTGTTGACAGTGTAGCTGGTTGAGTTCAGAACAATGTAACGCCCTGAAAGCAAATTAAGAGCTGGTAATTATTTTTTAAAAGTTGTCATTCGCAATACAAACCTTCCGTTTAAATGCAATGATTACTTCAAGTATTTTGTTTAAATAAATTTTAAATTTACATTCAATAAAAACTCTTCAAAGGAAAGAGAGAACGCACAAACGCTTGTCACATCGAAGGTATTATGTCAGTTCACAAGTTCATATTTCTCCTTTATGTATTTCGGTAAGATATAGAGATATAGAAAGAGAGGGCGAGAAAGAAAAAGAGAAAATTGCCCTTACAACTTACCAACTATGTTTACATTGACTGGTGTGCTGTAACCAATACCGTTTGAATTGTTTGCATAACATCTGTAGTTACCAATGTCGGATGGACTGAAACTGTAAACTCTTAAAGACGGGTAATATGTAGTAGAACCATAATATTTAGATGAGGATACGTCTATTTCCGTTTCGTTTTCCTGACCCTGGAGTTGCACTCTCCAGGAAACACTAGTGACACCGAAACCGAACACTTGACAAGGAATAGTGACGGTGTAGCTAAGTCCCGTGGTGATGTTTGATCCCACTAGTACTGCAGGAGTATCTAAAAAATGTATAAATTCGAGGAAACAAATAAAAAGATAAACTGAAGTTTCGTGATTGGACGTAAAAAAAATTAGAATAATCAAAACAGTAGAATCAAGGAATGTTTTATGCGACGTCAAAAGGTGATCGCTTAAAAATTTTTGCTATTTCGTCAAAGGAGTGCTACATTGCTTAATAGGTCTTTCAATGATAAACAAGTAATGCTTTTCAAAAAGCTTGCCTGACTAAGCAATTGATATCTCTAGAACATATAAGCATAATAAGAAATAAATATTTCTGTCCATTTTGTGGGTTGAGGGGGGCGAGGGATAATATTTCATTACCTTACATTTTTTAAACTTTATACAAAACATAATGAATATTTCATCTTAACTTTTATGCGACTCATCAGAAGAATGGGAACTTATTGGAAAGTGAACATTTAGGTAGAGATATTTATTGTATCTTAAATAATAAGTATGCAAGTGGAATGTACAAGCATATGAATAACCTGTGCTGGGAAGCTGTGGTTGTTTGAAGTTTACATGAATTAATTTCAAATGCATAGCAGATTAAAAATGCCGATAGACAGCTGAAAATATGGTAGTTACTCATAATACCATTAATAGAAATAATTTAAAATGAATATGGAGACTGATTTGTGGCGTGCACTTTTATGCATATTTATATTTCCGATAATATTCATCTCAGAATTTTGAAGACAAATACGTTTGATTTGAGGAAATCAGAAATGTTTGAAAGTTACAATGCATATTGTACGATTGATGAAGTGTCAACTATATATTTTAAGATGGAAACAGCAATAAATTTTGTCTAGTACCTCCAAATAAGTATACTGTGATGTCCGAGCTATTCCTGGATCCATAGTGATTATACACAGAACAGTGATAAAAACCTTGATCTTCTCGCTGGAAATTCGTTATGTTCAGGTTTGGAGAATGAATTGTTCCGCCAGAGTGTTTGCCATTCTGCACTGGATCGATTGCTACATCATCTTTGTACCAACTAACTTCAACCACGGGAGGATAACTGGAGGAAAAATTGCACGACAGGGACACACTATCGCTAGCGTTGACGGCGTAAATTGTGGTTACCGTAGATAAAACAGGAGAACCTATTTTTAAGGGGAAAAAAGAATTAGATTGAATGGATTTCTTTCCTTTCAAGTACTGCTATTCGATTGCATATGTTTACCATAGACCGTAAGGGCGAGCGCAGATACCTACTCAGTTGTAATATTTTGATCCGTCCTTCAAACCGCACATTTCATTTGATACATCTTGACTATGACGTCACATTACATTGTATGTAAGTTGCATTACCAAAGCGTAGAATGAACAGTGCTAATTTAAAAAAAAGAATGTTTAATCTACTATTTAAATCAACGTGAATTTTGTTGTTGTTGCTGTTGTTGTTGAACTTTGTTGTTACCGAGAGAACGTAGTTCGCGGCGAGATGCAATTCGCAGAGGATTTTGGGTTTCAAGGTTACTGCGGAAAAAAATCATTTTGATTAAAAATTGCAAAGTCCAAATTTCTTCTCAAATAAGGCGTTGCTTTAAATGTTAGCAGTGACGAGTGGAAATCGCGCTGCTGGCTACGCTTGCTTTTATGCTTCCTTGAATGCGTAATTAAAATTCTTGCACTTGCGGTCCATCTTTTACTAAAACTAAGCATTTTGACTCCATATATTCTTTTTAAAAGCATATGATAATTGAATTGAATTTGAAATCTTGTATCCTAATACAAAAGAAAACTTTAACGTAAACGAGACAATGTAGTATTGCAAACATGGAAAAATGCTTACCTCGTCGCAAGTCAAGAAATATCATTGATGCACTTTGACCTATTCCTGCTGAGTTTTGAGCCAAACATCTATAGTTTCCTATATCTTCAACCTTCACGTTTTTTACGGTAAGAGAGGGTGTCCCTACAGTGCCGCCGCTATATTTAGTTGTATTAACAGCATTTATGGTGGTTGTGACGCCGTTTTTCTGGTAGTGCCATGTAACAGAAGACACAGCTGTTGTGCTTATCACGTAACAATTGAGTATGGCGGACGATCCAACAGATACTGTAAGACTGGATCCTAACGTTACATTTGGTAGGCCTATAATCAAAGTTATAATGTCAGTGCCTATGGTATACATTTTGATAGAGGAAAATGTATTATTTATTTGTTTTATCACATTTATATCAAACTTACCCGGGACAAAGCAGTCAGGGTTTGTATTTCCGGCCAGACAGTGACACACATATTTCCCGAACTGATCTTCGCATGTCCCTCCATTAAGACAAGGCTCACTTAAACAATCGTTAATGTCTACAAGAAAAGTTATGATAAAACAGGTTACATGTCAAAAGTAAAGATAGATATTATTGCAATGAAAAGAATGTAATGTAACAAACCATCGGCGCAGGTCCCTTTCGACAATTCGTTCGTTAACAATGGTAGTAGATCAAACGTGGTCAGGTACGTGTAGTCGTTGTGCGTGGCAACGGATCTTAGAACAGCTGAATTTATTCCAGTTCCTACCCCGACACAGAATATCGTGACCCCGATTGCTTTTAGTTGGTCAGGCTGGTTGGACAGGGAACTTTGTCCATCGGTGATCAGAACTACAATTTTTGCCGAATCATTTCTTGCTCCGCTGGAGGAATTAAAGGAATACATTCGGGCATAATCAAGGGCACTTCCTATGCTCGTTCCCCCGCTGTTGAATGAAATGGAAGTTATAGCAGATTGAAGGCCAGATACTGTGTGATATCTGTTGAGTGGAAATATTTCTCTAGAAGAGGACGCAAAGTTGACTACACTGAATTGATTTGAATTGTTTCCTACTTTGAAGTGACCTACAACGGAGCTGACGAATGTCTTGATTCGTTCAAAGTTTAGCGATCCGATACTGCCAGACTCATCTAGTAGAAAAACTATGTCTCCCTTCGAAACGCACTCCCCTTAAACAGAAAGAAAAGATATTTTGTTTTCATTCTTGATTAAAGTAGTCTCTATTAAATTTTCAATGGACATAAAACTTGTTTCTGGTTATTCAAAATCTTGATTGTCTTGATAGTCATAAATCCAATTGATAAATTGGTCAAAGTTGCTATTTATAGCTTGCTTGATTGATATATGTAATGATTTGAAATAATCTATGCTGCTTGAATTGTGCAAATTCAAGAGACACTTTAGGACTATTCCATGAATCATTTAATAAAATTAAAATCCACTTTTGCCATCACTCTTTTGTTTGAGTGTTCCATTACGTTTCAGATATTGAGAGGTGCAATCTCCTTCCCGTGAAAATTTTATAAAATTATATTTTCATATGAAAGAAAAATTTGTATTATTCTGGAGGGCCTTCACTTTCATACTTGAACACTCAACTCCCTTCGCTATCGAAACTGTTGAAAGATCGAGGTTTTAAATAACTCCGTAACACTTTCTTCCCCATACTCTCTCTTTATATAAATTAAATACTATAAACACTTTAAATGCATACTTAAGTATATCTTAATAAAATTTATCTTTGCTATACTGAAAAATTATAATTACGAGCATTTAAAACAGTGCATTTTAAGCAGGTCAATATACCAACAGCTCTCCATTCTTTAAAAGCAATGGATCTTAGCCCCTTCGGGGAATGGAGAGTTACTCGTATATTAACAATTACATATCGAGTTCCACTATTAAGCATGAAAGCACTTAGGTATGTTTCATGATCTCGAGATCGGGACCAGCAAAATAAAGGAATTCCGAATAAATTTTAATAATGTCTGAAGTGCTACCAACGTAGAGCTCATAAATTATAAGTAAACGCAATCTTTAGCTTATTCAAACGATTCATAATAATTACAAATGTACCTCCCTATAACATATGATCCATGATATTTATTTAGAATTCTATCTAGGTTTAAAAGATCGTTGTCAAAAATGTACATAGTTTAGCTCTTTTTACAGTTTTATTGCTAACTGAAACTGAAAAAAAAGTTGTATATTTGGTTTGGACTTGAGGAATTATTTGCTTTTTTTAAAGAAATAATCTGAAAACATAAAACTCTGCCATATTTAAATTTTAAATAATAATACATCTTCATTTAAATGAACTCCAAAAACAGAAACATGTTAATGATGACCTTTACCCGGGGTTTTAGTTGACAGAAAGTAGAATCAACACTTTTTCTAAATGGACAAAATGTCATAACTCAGTATCAATTCAAAAAATTAATATTTTATTCTATGAGGTAAATATGCTAGGAAAAAAGTAGATGTAAGATGATGGAGAGGAAATTCGGACTAAATATTCACTTTAATTTTTCTTGCAATATTATTCAAAAAGTTAAGATTCTGTGTATTTTCAAACACCATTTTGCAAATTTTCTATGTGTTTAAGCTCATTTATTATTTCAAATAATTAAATGAAATGTAATAAAGATTTTCAAAAATATGAACAAACACCATTCCAGACAACACAACTCAAAATTTCATAATTAAGCTCTTATACATTTTATACCAGCATAATGAGCGTAACAAAAGGAAACTTAAAGCTATAAATAATTTAGAGTTCTTATCATTCAGATTTTTGTATTATTAGATTAAAAATGGGTAAAAATTGAAATTAAGGCATATGATGACTGACGTTTTTCAAACTAATTGTTAGGCCCTTATTTACACACTGAATTGTTGACGGATATCTCCGTTAATAAGCAAACATGACAAGAAGCACACGGCGGATGTGACCTGTCGGTAGGGAATGCTCACTCATCCAAGGCACCTGATCCCACCTGTGATGTTTTGGAGGTCCGTGTTTCCTCTGCTTCCGATTTCTTGTTTTAATGCAAATTTGAGCTTGAATACTGTTCGTTATCTCCATATTATATTGACAGAAGAAATTTGGCCTGAAATAATTAAGAAGTTTATAGTTCAAACTCTTAATTGTTTATTTATATTTAGCGAAACTATTCCATTAATATTTAATATTTAATTATCCAAAGAGTTTTGTTATTTGTTACATTTTGTTATTAAAGAAAATACTGATTAAAGTGTAGAAAATTGAGGTATTTTCCGAGAAATACTCAGGGGGCACTAGCATGAGCAGTAGGTCACTAAAAAAATTATTTGAAAGTGAATAATATCACAACAATTATAAGTCTACAATGTAAAATTTGTGGTTTTTCATTCTTATCAGTAGAATTCTTTGTCATCTAAGTAAACGTCAACCTTAAAAAGCATTTCAATATATACTAGTAATATGAATTTGTCAGACATGTCTTCACTGTGACAAAAATCTTCTCCTTCTCATTGAATTACATTACACATTTTCGCTTAGCGCAATAAACGAAATTTAGATTTCCAGATTTTCTAATACCCCCCACCCCGCAACTCAGTTTCTCAAAACTAGTCCTGCAAATCCCGAATATATATATATATATATATATATATATATATATATATATATATATATATATATATATATATATATATATATAGATAGATAGATAGATAGATAGATAGATAGATTTCTTATATAATTGTATCTAGATCGTGTGTTCTTTCAAAATTTTACTCTCGTTAGTAATAAATCCATTCAAAATCCCGAATTACATGTATATAGTTCTTTTTAAACACTAGAGTAATCACCTTTAGATGAATCTTCTAAGATGACCTGTATCGATGTACTTGTCGTCATTCCATCAACGTTAGTGACCTTACATCGATAATATCCAAAATCATCGTCGGTGATGTTCCATAAAGATAATGAGGGAAATGCCAAAGATCCCCCTTCGTATCTCTCATTTGACGATATGTCGATTACTGTAAACGACGAATCTTGGATGCCTTTTTTCTCCCATACTATCGTCGAGTTGATCTCAGTGCCAGACAGGATTACAGACAAGGTAAGATTGTCACCTTGATTTGCTGTGTATGATGTGACGGATACATTTATAGTTGCAAGTTCTGAAAAAAATAAAATGCAACCATTTTTCCCAAAGTACTAGACAGAAGGTAAAAATGAAGTATTTCCTAGAAAAGATAATATAAAGATATACTGTTTGTTCACCTAAAATTTTTAATATTTGCTTTCTTATGCCTTTTAGAGAGGTTAAAAAACACATTGTATACTTTAATTCATCCGCATAAATCATCTTGAATTCTCAATTTATCAATTAGTACAAAATGCAGAAATTGACGTGCAATATCGTCAACTGTCACCCATTTCTTTCAACATTTATTATATGACATGCGTCTTGTGAAACATGCTTCAAATAATTTCCGTTTTATTACACAATTCAGCCAATAATTACGTTTTTGAAGTTTGACGTCAAACAAAGGAGTTGTTGACATTCCATCGTCGTTGACAATTTTACATCGATAATAACCACTGTCTTCAAATACTGCATGGGCGATCTCAAGATTTGGTCTATCGATTGTGCCGCCGTTGTACCGATCATTGATAGTAATATTTACTGTATGAAATGCATATGGATAGGTAGTACTTCGTTTTTCCCAGGTGACTGACCTCATTTCCGGTCCCGAAGTATAATTGATGTGAAGGGTGATGCTAGATCTTGTTTTGGCTGTAATTGACGTTTCGCCAACTGATATCACAGGAAGACCTGTAGAATTGCATTTCAGGAAAGTCATATGTACTTATTGGACGAAATTTTTGTTATATTACATTATTTTGTCTGTATAGATATAAATTTTTTCATGGAAGAACGTTTATCGAATAACTATGAATTTTGACAGAAGATTGTCGAAACATGAGCTTACTGGTTTCAATTCTAATGCTAAAGGAAGAACTCTTTGATGTTCCATCAGGATTTGACACTGCACATCTATAGAAGCCATTGTCAGCGCTTGTTACATTGTGTATTGTCAGAGAGGGAGAGGATATTGTTCCTCCAGAGTACCTCGAAACCAATGTAATATTGAGTGGCAAATAAGTATTCCAAGACGAGTTCATCTTATATTCCCATGAAATCCCCATTATTGGTAGATATGATGTTATATTTACTTCTAGTGAGATATTAACCCATTTCCACGTGACAAACGATGTTGTACCTTCTAAGATATTTGGAGGACCTGCATCAGATAATGAAAATTACATGTCACCTGTGTAATATAAACTTAAACATATTTCTCTTTGAGAGCGTCCCATTATTCTGTTCAGGACTATAACTTAATAACTGATAAATTACTTGCTTATTATTTTATCTTTTAGAATGTATTTAAAGTGATTTTCTTACTTAGTTTATATAACTTCATTTAAATTAAAATGAATTACTAACGTGGGATGACATCAACGTAAACTGTTCTCGTTGTTACCCCATCATTGTTTACAGCTGCAACCCGGTAATACATTTCATCCGTCAGATCCACACGTATAATCGTCAGTGATGGTGATAGAATTTCTCCACCAATATAACGATTATCTGACAGTATATTGATATGTTCGTAGACGTATGTGCTGGTGTTTTTTCTTTCCCATGTCACCTTAGTGATTGGCAGGAAGGATGTGATGATTGTTTCAAGAGTTAGGTTTTCACCGGAATAAATACTATAGTTAGATTCTAATGAAATGGATGGAGGACCTGAAATTTACACAGCTTTTCTCAAAAGCCCGAATATATATATATATATATATATATATATATATATATATATATATATATATATATATATATATATATATATATATATATATATATATATATATATATATATATATATATCCTGCAAACAGTCTTATTTTTCTTTTTCGCCATGAACACTTGATATACTTTGTGTATATTTTTGTACATTTTTTTCACTTTTTGAAATAATTCATACCACCTGTACATCAAACTACTGTTTCTGAAGAGTATGTTTTTCGATTAATTTCTTTAGTAGTTTCTTTGCAAATTCGGTCACAAAAAGACATTTGATATTGGTATTTCTCTTAAGTCTGTGCCAAAGTAAAATATGAAATGTTGGAGTAACCTGCATGTATAAATTATTTAATCATTGAGAAGTGGAGAAATTGTCTTCATATTTTTATAATAATATAGTTTTGGAGAAAAACAGCATAATCTTTTTGCTTTAGTGTATATAACAGAAGAAATACTTACGTAACACGACATCAATGAAGACGGAGCTTGTTGAAGTACCATAGTCGTTTGTGGCGCTAACACGGTAATAAGTCTCATCATTTACAGTGATATCTGTTATTGTCAGCGATGGCGAAATAATATCGCCACCGGTATATCGATTATCGGAAGAGAAATCAATAATTTCGTACAAAAGTGTGCTGATGTTTCTTCTCTCCCAGGTGACATTTGTAATTATCAATGAGGATGTGATACTTGTCTGCAGTGTGACATTTTCACCTGTGTAGACAGAATAGCTCCAGTACACTGATATTGTTGGTCGATCTTAAAATAAAGAATACACAAATTTTAATGTATTGTAAAATCAAGAAATTTACAACTACATACTATTGATGAACATACAATTAAATCTGTCATATCGTATTTTTAAATGTATTAACCATATTTCCATCCATAGTGGTATGAAGATCAGCATTGGGAAATTACTGTGTAATTGTTCACAGTCCTCAAGATATATTACGTCAGTCTTATATTTCATTACCAGAAATATTTAGCATTTCTAAATCTAAACACACCAAAATTTCCGCTTAAGCTCATTACAAGTATTTCACACAGAGAAAACTTAATATAAAATTCTTCCTTCTGACTGTTAAAGAGTACTTTTAACTGAAAATGACTTACATCGTTTAACATATATTGCGAACTGCCTGCTGTATCTATCCCCATCCACGTTTGAAACCTTACATCGATAATACGTGTAATCGTCCTCCAACGATATACCGGTTACATTTAGTGATGGTGAGTCGATGGTCCCTCCGATATATCTTCCATCGTTCACTATATCAATTGGAGCAAAGGTGGATACGGATGAATTTCTTTTTTCCCAAACTACTGAAGTGACGTTAAGAACGGATGTGTAGCTGAGTGAAAGAGTTATGTTCGTTCCTCTCTGGATGTAGAAATATGTTGTTCCCGTTGATATTGACGGAAGCCCTAAGAGGAAAATTTATAATAATTTCCTGATTCTAAAAGTGTGCTTGAAAGTAGGAGACAATGTGCAGGCATTGCATGCAGCGTATGCGACTTCTTTTTACCTCTTTTTATGATATGTCCAGTATTTAGAAATTTGAAATGCAGTTTACTTGAGAAATAAAAAAAAATAGTACAACTCATCTGCAAGGTAGAGATATATTTCACAATATCAGGATACCCCAAGTGTTACAAACGTAAGAACGGACACCCTAATCACTATATATCCCCATTTTCAAGCGGGGATATAATAAAGACTTAAATGCAATGGTAAGTATATCACTTACTCGGAGTGACGGATAAATAAAACGATGAGCTATGTCTAACTCCGTCGCTGTTTTCCACTGCACACCTGTAATTGCCTTTGTCTGTAACCAATATATTCTTTATGACAAAATCAGGTGATCCCAATTGGCCTCCATCAAATCTTTGGTCATCTGTCGTATTCAGTGTATAGTAATTGTACGGGTAGGAGGAATTTTGTTTTTCCCATTTTACCGATAACAAAGTAGTTAATGATGTAATATTGACTTCAAATGTGACATTTCCACCGGAATACATGTAGAAATTTCTTGTACCAGTAATAACTGAAGGAAGGCCTGAAAAAACGTTTGGAAAAGATCATTAAAAAAATCTAAAAGACTCAAATAACACTGACCTGGAGGTATTTAAATCTGAATCAAGTAACCCAGTTTATGGAGAGAGAGAATGTGTGTGTGAGGGTGTGTGTGAGGGTGTGTGTGTGTGTGTGTGTGTGTGTGTGTGTGTGTGTGTGTGTGTGTGTGTGTGTGTGTGTGTGTGTGTGTGTGTGTGAGGGTGTGTGAGGGTGTGTGTGTGTGTGTGTGTGTGTGTGAGGGTGAGTGTGTGTGTGTGTGTGTGTGTGTGTGTGTGTGTGTGTGTGTGTGAGAGAGAGAGAGAGAGAGAGAGAGAGAGAGAGAGAGAGAGAGAGCAGTAAACTTACGGAGGTTTAAACTTAAGTAAAACATTATGCTCCTTGTGCCATCTATATTTGTTGCGTTGAACCTAAAATATCCAGCATCTACCCCACGGACACTGTTAAAAGTCAGTGAGGGGTCGTTGATCAATCCACCAGAGAATCTGCTATCTGTTGTATCAATTAAGGTATATGTGTATGGGTAGTTGCTGCGTTTCTCCCAACTGACCGACACCAATGGTAACTCGGATGTGATATTAACCTCAAAAGTGAGATTAGTTTCCGAATATATGTAGAAAAAGGATGTCTGCTTCGTAGTTATAATTGGTAAGCCTATAAAAATTTATTCCAATGGAAATAAAAACATTTCAGAAAATTCACAGAAAAAAATTCCAAAAACTGACTTTGCAATTTTCACTTACGAACAATAACATTTAGGTAAATGCTCGAACTTAAAGTTGTGCCGTCAGCGTTAGATACATTTAGACGATAATACCCATAATCCTCTGTGCTAACGTTACGAATGATGAGGGACAGAGAATCAAGTGCACCACCCTCGTATTTGTCCTTTGATGTCGTATTCAAGTTAATATAGTTGTAGTAAGACAAATAACTCCTCTGCCAAGATAAACTTAAAAGATCGGGGTTGGCATAAACAAATACGGAGAGTATGACATCATCACTCTTATTGACAGTGTAGCTGGTTGAGTTCAGTACAATGTAACGCCCTGAAAGCAAAATGAAAGCTGGTAAAAAGAACAAGGTTCACTTAGGGCCTTTTTTGGCCCTGTGAATTTCTGAAAAACTAAAACTGCTTAGTTTTAGTTGACAATGCATTAAATTTCATTTAGACATTTGGCGATTGCGATTCTACCAAAAATGACGTAATTTTCTGGCTTGTTAATGCATTATGACGTCATGAAATGCGTCATTTTCCTCATATCCTGAACAATTCTACAAAAACAGCCAATTTTTAAAGCTATTTTTCGATATTTGATATAGAGCGCAATCTCTGATCTAAAATATGCAATTATTTACTGATAGAACCGTTTCTGAGGATTACAAAACATGTTTTATTTTTTAGATCAGAGGGTGCACTCATATTATTTTTCTTCTCTGAAAGTACTTAAATATATCTGTTTTCCTTAAAATTCAAGAACATTGCAATTCCATAAAGCTTGTTTTCCAAGACCTGGTCTTTAAGGAGAAAAAAAATAATAGGAAATGAAAGCACTAAGTCTCTACTTATCTTGATGTTTAAAATGGAACATAAGGTGTTCGTCAATGAATTCGTATATCTACAGGGCCATTTTATGCATAAAGTGAACCTAGCTCTTTGTATTATGTCATAAAGAAGATAATATGTGAGTTCCAACGTTTATAATTCCCTTATATATATATTTCTGTGTGAAAGAGGAAGATAGAGATAGGGCGAGTGGAAGAGAAAGTAGCTCTTACAACTTACCAACTATGTTTACATTGACTGGTGTGCTGTAACCAATACCGTTAGAGCTGTTCACGTAACATCTGTAGTAACCATTGTCTGATGAGCTAAAACTGTAAATTGTTAAGGATGGGTAATATGTAGTAGAACCGGAATATTTTGATGAGGACATGTCTATTTCCGTTTCGTTTTCCTGACCCTGGAGTTGTGCTCCCCAGAAAACTCTAGTGACACCAAAACCAAACACTTGACAAGGAATAGTGACCGTGTGGCTAAATCCACCAGTGATGTTTGTTTTCACTAGTACTGCAGGTACATCTGAAAAAAAAAATTAGGAGAAATAAACCCACATTAAACTGTTGTTTCGCAAGGTAGAGAGATTTTCGAAATTGCTCAAAATTTTTTATGATTTTCTTAGAAAATCATTTTCTAAGATATCAATTTCTTACATATTGTGAACTTTCGAAATTTCCATTGTTTAAAATATGAAAAAAGAGCAATGCCACTTTAAACTAAACTCGTTTATGAGAGGAAATCACCGATTTTTGAAAGAAAAAGTGTAAAAAGTTAGATTGATGAAGTGTCAACCCAGTATAATGAGACAGAAACAGCAACAGGGCTTTTCTATTACCTCCAAATAAATAAACTGCCATGTCCGAGCTATTACTTGATCCATAGTGGTTATACACAGAACAGTGATAGAATCCTTGGTCTTCTCGCTGGAAATTCGTTATGTTGAGGTTTGGAGAATAAATTGTTCCGCCAGAGTATTTACCATTAGGCACTGGATTTATTGCTACATCATCTTTATACCAACTTATTTCAACAACAGGAGGGTAACTGGAGGAAAACTTGCAAGACAGGGACACGCTATCACTAGCGTTCACAGCGTAATTTGTACTTATAGTAGATAAAAGAGGAGAACCTGGTTTTAAGATGAAAAAAATTACGAGTTATAAACATCTTTCCTTTCCAGTATTGTTTTTAGAATGCATATTAAGTTCTTCACTGTTAGATGTGTGTTTCAATTTGTTGCACTCGTGGTCCATCTCCAAATATTTATTTAAATGAAACGGTACTATATGAATTGAATTTGAAATCTTGTATCCTGATACAAAAGAAAATTAAGACGAAAATTAAGACATTAGTGTTGCAAATATGCAAAATGCTTACCACGTTGCAAATCTAGAAATATCATTGATGTACTTTGACCTGTTCCTGCTGAGTTTTGGGCCAAACATCTATAGTTTCCTATATCTTCAACCTTCACGTTTTTTACGGTAAGAGAGGGTGTCCCTACAGTGCCGCCGCTATATTTAGTTGTATTACCAGTATTTATGGTGGTTGTGACGCCGTTTTTCTGGTAGTGCCATGTAACAGAAGACACAGTTGTCGTGCTTGACACGTAACAATTGAGTACGGCGGACGATCCAACATATACTGTAAGACTGGATCCTAACGTTACATTTGGTAGGCCTATAATTAAAGTTATATTGTCAGTGCCTATGGTATACATTTTGATAGAGGAAAATTTATTATTGATTTGTTCATCACCTTTATATCAAACTTACCCGGGACATAGCAGGTAGGGTCTGTATTTCCGGCCAGGCAGTGACACACATATTTTCCGAATTGATCTTCACATGTCCCTCCATTAAGACAAGGCTCACTTAAGCAATCGTTAATGTCTACAAGAAAAGTTTTAATAAAACAGGTTACATGTTAGAGGTAAAGAGCGCTATCATTACAATGAAAAGAATGTAATGTAACAAACCATCGGCGCAGGTCTCGTTTGACAATTCGTTCGTTAACAATGGTAGTAGATCAAACGTGGTCAGGTACGTGTAGTCGTTGTGCGTGGCTACTGATCTTAGAACAGCTGAATTTATTCCAGTTCCTACCCCGACACAGAATATCGTGACCCCGATTGCTTTTAGTTCGTCAGGCTGGTTGGAAAGTGAACTCTGTCCATCGGTGATCAGAACTACAATTTTTGCCGAATCATTTCTTGCTCCGCGGGAAGAACTAAAGGAATACATTCGGGCATAATCAAGGGCACTTCCTATGCTTGTTCCCCCGCTGTTGAATGAAATGGAAGTTATAGCAGATTGAAGGCCAGATACTGTGTGATATCTGTTGAGTGGAAATATTTCTCTAGAAGAGGACGCAAAGTTGACTACACTGAATTGATTTGAATCGTTTCCTACTTTGAAGTGACCTACAACGGAGCTGACGAATGTCTTGATTCGTTCAAAGTTTAGCGATCCGATACTGCCAGACTCATCCAGTAGAAAAACTATGTCTCCCTTCGAAACGCACTCCCCTTAAAAAGAAAGAAAAAATATTTTGTTTTTATTCTTGATTAAAGTATTTTCTATATGCCTTTCCAATGGACATTGCACTTGTTTCATGTTATCCAAAATTTTGACTGTCTTGACATTCACAAATCCAATTGATTAAAGACATTGGCAAGTTTCCTGGATATCGTATAGAATTCTTCGAGAACTTTTGAGTACGTTTAATTGTACCAAACAAGCTATATTTTGAATTGTTTACTTACCAAGCCAACCTTCCTTTTTAGATTTTGTCAAGTCAGTGTTTTTACAAATTTTCATGCATTTCCTATGTAAAATATTGATAAAAAGGAATTATATAATTTTTCACCAAAATATTTCGCCAAAACCCACTTATTTCATATAGTTTTTGTATTATATACATCATTGTATCTTCATTTCCTATGACTTCTAGATATTTTGGCTGAAATGTACACAGTGTATATAGAAACAAGACATGGACATACCGGCACCGATCTTTATTTTTGAGTTACTTCCCTTAACCAGGTATATTTATTTTATTCATAATGATTAAGAGACTGGTTAATTGTTTCTATCATGAAATTGACTGAATTGATTGAAACACATTGTCATAAAAATATTGGCATGTTTTTTTTTGTTTGTTCGTTTGTTTGTTTGTTTGTTTTTTGTTGTTATTTTTTTGTTGTTTTTTTGTTTTGTTTTTGTTTTTGTTTTTATTCGTAGTTACTAAATGCTGCTTCCTTCACACAACCTAAGACCACTGAAGAAATATTCACAGTTGGTCTACCTTTCAGCATATGTTTTTGCCCTTCCCAGCATACTGAGCATAACTAAGGTAAATGACGACCTGTTGGCTCTTTGTCCCTTGAATACAATGTACAATAAAGTCATTACTACTTCTATTTCTTGCTGTATAGATGCTCCTACCCGTTGAAGGAAGTACATTTCCTTTTAATTGTTTACCTCTGTAACATTCGCTTTATTGGTTTTCACCGCTTAGAGAATTCTACACGGGAGATCACGCTCAATCACTATTTTATAAGTGAAAAAACCCATGTATTAAACCTTTATTTCTCCGGAAAGCCTGACTTGCCAATGTCCTTAATTTGTCATCAACGATAAAGTTCCTATTTGTAGCATGTTTGATTGACATATTCAATGATTGAAATACTTTATACTGCTTGAATTGTGCGTATTCAAGAAATACCGTAGGACTATTTCTTGAACAATTTGATAAAATTGAAATCCACTTGTGCCGTCACTCTTTTTTGTGAGTGCCCCATTAATTTTCAGGAATGGAGGATTGCAATTTACATTAATAATGGTGTTATGTGCAGATTCTCCTTCCTGTGCCTCTACCGGGAAAAGAACTTTAGAAATCTTTTAAAGTTATATTTTCATATGAAGGAAAAATATGTAATATGTTGACGGTGCGACCGTTAGGGCAAGCGCAGAAATTTATTCAGGTTTAATTTAGATCGGGCTCGATCTTCAAACTGCACGTGATATTTGGTGCGTCTAGACTCAGACGTCACATGACGTCGTATTTACATTGCATTACCAAACCGAAGCATGAACATTGCTTACTTTATTGAAAACGTTTTATTTACTATTTATCTGCAATATATCCATTAAATCAAGGCGAGTTTATTTTTGTTAAGCTGTTGTTGTTATTCTCGCGAGAACGTAGTTTAAACAAGCGATGCATTGTGGGTCAAAAAGTTGCTGCGGAAAAAATTCGTTTGGATCAATGTGTAAGTCCGAATTTTCTCTTCGCCCAGGCGTTGTCGTTAGAGCTCGCTGTGCTCGCTATTATGCAGGAGGGTCGAACTCGGTACCTTTACTTTCATACTTAAAGGACTTATCGCATGATCTTTCAAAAATCGCAATTTTATGAAAAATATTATCTACAACCTTGTTTATCAAAATACTGAATACAAAAACGTTGATGAAAGCACATTTTAAGAGATACTGAGAGTTGAAATTCAAATACGGCAATATGCATATTTCAGTCGGATTTCGGCGAAATACTGCTCTGACGTCATAGGCGACAATTCAGTGATAGAGAGATGAGAATATGCACACTATTTACGGAGTTATCAACGACAAATGCAGCTTAATTACAGAAAATGCTAAAAAAAAAATTATTCCTAACATGCTTTTTATTAACTATAGAAACATTTACTAGTTCTAAGGTATAAGACTTTTGAGATATTCTCGTTTTTTATTCCAAACATTTAGAATCTGTTGTTGTGATAAGATGACAAATCAAATTGTATTGTGATGGCGACTTTCTTCGTCTTCGCCGCGTCTCCCTCGCTATCATCGCTGCTATTTTTACAATGTTAACAGATTTTTCAGATTTTTTCTTGCTAACAGTACAGTTCTAAAATATAAGGTTAGATATTCAATTTCATATCGATAAAATCAGTGATTTGGTCGTCCACAACGCAGAAAATTCAGGTTGTATCGCGTATATTTTAGTAAGATTAACGTGAGGAGGTGATCAGCCATTGTCGCCTTTGACGTCAGAGGGCCACGTGATCGCTATCTAATTAACTTAGATTTTTCATTCAGGGGTTTTCATTTGAGTCAATAATTGGTTAATTACCGCGGTTTATCCGCAGTAAAAACACTAAGTTTATAAACTGTGGTCATAAGGAACGTTTTACGCTATTAATTTCAAATAACTAAGAATCATGCGATAAGTCCTTTAAACACTCATCTCACTACGCTATCAAAAATGTTGAAAGATGGAGGTTTTAAATAACCCCGTAACACTTTCTTAGCCATACTCTCTCTTTATATAAATTAAATACCATAAACACGTTAAATGTGTATTTATGTGCATCCTTATAAAATATATATTTTACATATTGAAAAATAATAATTACGAGCATTTAAAACAGTGCATTTTAAGCAGGTCAATATACGAATAGCTCTCCGTTCCTTAAAAGCAATGGGTATGGACCCTTCGGGGCCTTGGCCCCATTACTATTAAGGAATCGAGCGCTACTCGTATATTAACACTTACATATCGAGTTTCACGATTAAACTTAAAAGCATTTAAAATATGTTTCATGATCTCAGGATCAGCGAAATATTAGGAATTCCCAATAAATTTTAATAATGTCTATAGTCATACCAACGCAGAGCCAATAAATAACATGTATAAGTAAACCCGATCTCTAGCTTATTCAAACGATTCATTATAAATACAAATGCATTTCCCTATAACATATGATCCATGATATTAATTTAGAGTTCTATCTAAGTTTAAAAGTCTGTTGTGAAAAATGTACATAGTTTAGCTCTTTTACAGTTTTATTGCTAACTGAAACTGAAACATCCAGAAAGAATCGTCCTATATTTGGTTTGGACTTGAGGAATTATTTGCTTAAAGAAATAATCTGAAAACATAAAACTCTGCTAAATTTAAATAATAATACATCTTCATTTAAATGAACTCCAAAAACAGCAACATGTTAAGGGTGACCTTTCCTCAAGCTTTTAGTTGACAGAAAGTAGAATCGAAAAATCGAAACTTTTTCTAAATGAACAAAATGTCATTACTCAGCATCAATTTAAAAAATTGATATTTTATTATTTGAGGAAAATCTGCTAGAACAAAAGTAAATTTACGATGATGCAGAGGAAATTCTGACTAAATATTTACTTTAATTTTTTCACAAAACTTTTTCTGCAATTTTATTCAAAAATTTAAGATTCTGTGTGTTTTTAACACCATTTTGCAAATTTTATATGTGTTTAAGCTCATTTATTATTTCAAAAAATTGATGACATGTAATTAAGAATTTCAAAAAATATAAACAAAAACCATTCCAGACAACGTATCTCAAGAATTTCATCATTGAGCTCATATAATTTTAATAACAGAATAAAAAGTGCAACAAAAATAAACTTAGGCTATAAATAGTTTAGAGTTCTTATCATTCAGATATTTGTAATATAAGATTAAAAATGTGTAAAAATTGAAATTTGACAGAAGAAATTTGGCCTAAAATAATTAAGAGATGTATAGTTCAAACTCTAACTGTTGAAATATATTTAGCAATACTATTTCATTTATATTCATTATCCATTTTTTTTTATTTATAATTACATTTTGTTATTAAAGAAAATATTGGTTAAAGTGTAGAAGATTGAGGTATTTTCCGAGAAATACTCAGGGGCCACAAGCATGAGAAGTAGGTCATTGATCTAGTTAATTGAAAGTGAATAATATCACTACAGTCATTAGTCTACAATGTTAAATAGGTGTTTTTTTCATTCTTATCAGTAGAATGTTTTGCAGTCTGAGTAAACGGCATCCTTACAAAGCATTTTAATATACTAGTAATATGAATTTGTCAGACATGTCCTTAGTAACTGTGACAGAAATCTTGTCGTTCGAATTGAATTACACAATTAAGTTTAGCCTAATAAATGAAATATAGATTTCCACATTCTCTAAAACCCCCGCAGCTCAATTTGTCACAACTAGAAATTGCAAATCTAGAATATATAAATGCCTTTTATATGATTGTATCTAGAACGTGTGTTCTTTCAAATTTTAATCTCAGTCGTTACTATTAAAGCCATTCAAAATTCTGAATTATTTTGTCCTTTTAAAACGCTAAAGTAATCACCTTTAGATGAATCTTCTAAGCTGACCTGTATCGATGTACTTGTCGTCATTCCATCAACGTTAGTGACCTTACATCGATAATATCCAAAATCATCGTGGGTGATGTTCCATAAAGATAACGAGGGAAATGCCAAAGATCCCCCTTCGTATCTCTCATTTGACGATATGTCGATTACTGTAAACGACGAATCTTGGATGCCTTTTTTCTCCCATACTATCGTCGAGTTAATCTCAGTGCCAGACAGGATTACAGACAAGGTAAGATTGTCACCTTGATTTGCTGTGTATGATGTGACGGATACATTTATAGTTGCAAGTTCTGAAAAAAATAAAATGCAACCATTTTTCCCAAAGTACTAGACAGAAGGTAAAAAGGAGGTATTGTTTAGAAAAGATAATATTAAGATATACTGTTTGTTAACCTAAAATTTTTAATATTTGCTTTCTTGTGCCTTTTAGAGAGGTTAAAAAACACATTGTATACTTTAATTCATCCGTATAAATCATCTTTAATTCTCAATTTATCAATTAGTACAAAATGCAGAAATTGACGTGCAATAACGTTAACTGTCACCAATTTCATTGAACATTTATTACATGACATGCGTCTTGTTAAACTTGTTTCAAATAATTTCCGTTTTATTACACAATTCAGCCAATAATTACGTTTTTGAAGTTTGACGTCAAACAAAGGAGTTGTTGACATTCCATCGTCGTTGACAATTTTACATCGATAATAACCACTGTCTTCAAATACTGCATGGGCGATCTCAAGATTTGGTCTATCGATTGTGCCACCGTTGTACCGATCATTGATAGTAATATTTACTGTATGAAATGCATATGGATAGGTAGTACTTCGTTTTTCCCAGGTGACTGACCTCATTTTCGGTCCCGAAGTATAATTGATGTGAAGGGTGATGCTAGATCTTGTTTTGGCCGCAATTGACGTTTCGCTAACTGATATCACAGGCAGACCTGTAGAAATGCATATCAGAACAGTCATTTGTACTTATTTGACGAAAATGTTTGCTAGATTACATTATTTTGTCTGTGTCGATATAAAATTTTTCATAAAAGAACGTTTATCGAATAACTATGAATTTTGACAGAAGATTGTCGAAACATGAGCTTACTGGTTTCAATTCTAATGCTAAAGGAAGAGCTCGTTGATGTTCCATCACGATTTGACACTGCACATCTATAGAAGCCATTGTCAGCGCTTGTTACATTGTGTATTGTCAGAGAGGGAGAGGATATTGTTCCTCCAGAGTACCTCGAAACCGATGTAATATTGAGTGGCAAATAAGTATTCCAAGACGAGTTCGTCTTATAGTCCCACGAGATCCCCATTATTGGTAGATATGATGTTACGTTTACTTCTAGTGAGATATTAACCCATTTCCACGTAACAATTGATTTTGTACCTTCTGAGATATTTGGAGGACCTGCATCAGATAATGAAAATTACATGTCAATTTTGTAATATAAACTTAAACACATTTCTCTTTAAGAGTGTCCCCATATTCTGTTCAGGACTATAACTTAATATCTGATAAATAACTAGCCGATTATTTTATCTTCTAGAATGTATTTAAAGTGATTTTCTTACTCAGTTTATATAATTTCATTTAATTAAATTGAATTACTAACGTGGGATGACATCAACATAAACTGTTCTCGTTGTTATCCCATCATTGTTAACAGCTGCAACCCGGTAATACATTTCATCCGTCAGATCCACACGTATAATCGTCAGTGATGGTGATAGAATTTCTCCACCAATATAACGATTATCTGACAGTATTTTGATAAGTTCGTAGACGTATGTGCTGGTGTTTTTTCTTTCCCATGTCACATTGGTGATTGGCAGGAAGGACGTGATGATTGTTTCAAGAGTTAGGTTTTCACCGGAATAAATACTATAGCTAGATTCTAATGAAATAGATGGAGGACCTGAAATTTACAAAGCTTTTCTCATATATATATATATATATATATATATATATATATATATATATATATATATATATATACTGCTAACATTCTAATTTTTGTTTTACGCCATGTACACTTGATATACTTTGTGTATATTTTTGTAATTTTTTCACTTTTTGTTATAATTCATGCCACCTGTACATCAAACTAGTGATTCCGATGAGTATGATTTTCAACTTATTTCTTTAGTTTGTTTGTTTGTATGTTGTTTAACGTCCCTCTCGAGAATTTTTTACTCATATGGAGACGCCTATTTCTTTAGTAGTTTCTTTGCAAGTTCGGTCACAAAAGGACCGCAGATATTGGTATTTTTCTCGTAAGTCTGTGCTAAAGTAAAATATGAAATGATGGCGAACCCTGCATGTATAAAGTATTTAATCATTGAGAAGTGGAGAAATTGTCTTCATATTTTTTAATAATATAGCTTTGGAGAAAAGCAGCATAGTTTTTTTTTTCTTTAGTAAATATAACAGAAGATATACTTACGTAACACGACATCAATGAAGACGGAGCTTGTTGAAGTACCATCGTCGTTTGTGGCGCTAACACGGTAATAAGTCTCATCATTTACAGTGATATCTGTTATTGTCAGCGATGGCGAATTAATATCGCCACCGGAATATCGATTATCAGAAGAGAAATCAATAATTTCGAACAAAAGTGTACTGATGTTTCTTCTCTCCCAGGTGACATTTGTAACTATCAGTGAGGATGTGATACTTGTCTGCAGTGTGACATTTTCTCCTGTGTAGACAGAATATCTCCAGTACACTGATATTGTTGGTCGGTCTTAAAATAAAGAATACACAAATTTTAATGTATTGTAAATTCAGGAAATTTACAACTACAAATTATTGATGAACATACTCTTAAATCTGGTATATCGTATTTTTAAATGTATTAATCATATTTCCAACAAGATGAAGATCAGCATTGGGAAATTACTGTGTAATTGTTCACTGTCCTCAAGATATATGAGGTCAATCTTATATTTCTAAATCTAAACACACCAAAATTTCCGCTTAAGCTCATTACAAGTATTTCACACAGAGAAAACTTAATGTAAAATTCTTCCTTCTGACTATTAAAAAGTACCTTTAACAGAAAAAAAGACTTACATCGTTTAACATATATTGCAAACTGCCTGCTGTATCTATCCCCATCCACGTTTGAAACCTTACATCGATAGTACGTGTAATCGTCCTCCAACGATATACCGGTTATATTTAGTGATGGTGAGTCGATGGTCCCTCCGATATATCTTCCATCGTTCACTATATCAATTGGATCAAATGTGGATACGGATGAATTTCTTTTCTCCCAAACTACTGAAGTGACGTTAAGAACGGATGTGTAGCTGAGTGAAAGAGTTATGTTCGTTCCTCTCTCGATGTAGAAATACGTTGTCCCCGTTGATATTGACGGAAGCCCTAGGAGGACAATTTATAGGATTTATAATAATTTCCTGATTCTAAAAGTGTGTCTAAAAGTAGGAGATAATGTGCAGGCATTGCCTGCAACTTATGCGACTTCTTTTACCTATTTTTATGATATGTCCAGCATTCAAAAATTTTTAATGCAGTTTACATGAATAATATAAAGAAAATAATACAACTCCCCTGCAATGTAGAGATATCTTTCTCAATTTCAGAATATACACCCCCAAGTGTTAAAGACGTCCCTTCTCAAGCGGGAATATAATAAAGACTTGAACGCAATGGTGAGTATATCACTTACTAGGAGTGACGGATAAATAAAACGATGAGCTATATCTAACACCGTCGCTGTTTTCCACTGCACACCTGTAATTGCCTTTGTCTGTAACCAATATATTCTTTATGACAATATCAGGTGATCCTAATTGGCCACCATCAAATCTTTGGTCATCTGTCGTATTCAGTGTATAGTAATTGTACGGATAGGAGGAATTTTGTTTTTCCCATTTTACCGATAACAAAGTAGTTAATGATGTAATATTGACTTCAAATGTGACATTTCCACCAGAATACATGTAGAAATTTCTTGTACCAGTAGTTACTGAAGGCAAACCTGAAAAAAAGGTTTGAAAATCATAAAAAGAAATATAGTAGACCAAATTCATATAACATTCACCTAGAGGTATTTAAATCTGAATCAAACAACCCTGTTTATGGAGAGAGAGAGAGAGAGAGAGAGAGAGAGAGAGAGAGAGAGAGAGAGACCAGTAAACTTACGGAGGTTTAAACTCAAATAAAACGTTATGCTCCTTGTGCCATCTATATTTGTTGCGTTGAATCTAAAATATCCAGCATCTACCCCACGGACACTGTTAATAGTCAGTGAGGGGTCGTTGATCAATCCACCAGAGAATCTGCTGTCTGTTTTATCAATTAAGGTATATGTGTATGGGTAGTTGCTGCGTTTCTCCCAACTGACCGACACCAATGGTAACTCGGATGTGATATTAACCTCAAAAGTGAGATTAGTTTCCGAATATATGTAGAAAAAGGATGTCTGCTTCGTAGTTATAATTGGTAAGCCTATAAAAATTTATTCCAATGGAAATAAAAAAAAAATAATTTCAAAAAATTGACACAAAAAATCGAAAACTGATTTTGTAATTTTCACTTACGAACAATAACATTTAGGTAAATGCTCGAACTTATAGTTGTGCCATCAGCGTTAGACACATTTAGACGATAATACCCATCATCCTCTTTGCTAACGTTACGAATGATGAGGGACGGAGAATCAAGTGTACCACCCTCGTATTTGTCCTTGGATGTTGTATTCAAGTTATTAAAGTAAGACAAATAACTCCTCTGCCAAGATAAACTTAAAAGATTGAGGTTGGAATAAACATATACGGAAAGTTTGACGTCATCACTCTTGTTTACAGTGTAGCTGGTTGAGTTCAGTACAATGTAACGCCCTGAAAGCAAATTAAGAGCTGGTAATTATTTTTTAAAAGTTGTATTTCAAAATTAAAAAAAACCCTTCTGTCTAACTGTCCAACTCTGTTAGAATAAAATAATACAACACTCTCTAAAATCTTTTGTATCATGGTAGCTGCACTTTTCCTTTGAAATTCACTGTACAATTACTGGAGGTAAACCAGCAGTGGGCGGAGCTTACTTTACAGCAAAACTGTGCTGTTTTAATAAGAACTACGCACGGTAACTCCCGAAACCCGCCTACATTTTACAACCATTTAATTCAATATTGATGACAATTTGGCCGTAAAATCTTTGTTTAATACAAAGAACAGTTCAATGGTAATTGATTAATTATTTTAATTCCAGTGCTAAATAGTAAAATATCCCTAATTCCAGCTCTTGAAATAAGGGGGGTAGACGATATTTTCCACTGAAATCGGGCTATAAAGCATCACCATATTCTGAAATAGTCTTGGATATGAATAAATGTTTCTTAAATGTTTTCTTATGTTTTATGCATATTAAATTAAGCATATATATTAGTAAAATGTAATGTTTCAGTTGTAAAGCACTTCAAAATAGCTGAAAAAATAAGCATTTTTGTCGTTTTTTGTATATAAACATATGTTCCCCCCGTGAAACACAAAAAGCTTTGGTATGAATTCGTGAAATGACAGTCCATATTACCCGTAAAAAGGAATTTTTGTTTCACGGGGGGGAAAGATGTTTTAAAAATATTTTCCTTTTTCCGTTGATTTCTATAGTGAAAAACATGAGTTTTACCAAAATTTTAGAGTTATCTCTCGTTGTTTTCCCAAAGAAGTAATGTTTTATGAAAATCCATATAAATATCAATATAAATATTAAAAATCATTCGAATATCTTAACTTTTGAAAATTGACTTGGAGGTAGGCGGGAGAACAATACTATCGTTCGCAGTTCTTTATTGTACAACTTCCAATTAAAAACAAAACATTGCATCAAACTTTATTCTATTAACGTTTTTGAAAATGTACAAAACAGTTTTTTCCCAATTGTTATACATAAGGAACAGAAACAAGTATTTGAAAGTTCCTTTCAAATGAAAAAAAATATTCAAAATACATCCATCTTTGACAGTTGTAGACAATATTTCTCTCAATAATGTCTAATGAAATGAAAAGCTGCAATTATTGAAGCAAGGAAATGCTCCACCTCTACTCAAAGCGCTCAGATTTTCACGGCTACATTCACGCTTGATAGGAATACACGTTTTTTCTTCACCTCCGAGCGTTGTCGCGGGGGGGGGGGGCGGATCCAAACACTTTGACACTTTAAGAATGATATCTGCATTTGATCTTTTGTATGTCCGGACCTCCTTCTCCGACCTGTGCCCTGTCCTGCCAATTATGTTTTGCTCATCATCCACTTTGGTATAATGCAGTCGCAAGTTCTTTTCCCAGAATAATTGATGAAATTTCACTACAGTCCCGCACGATCACATATTATTTTCATCATGGATTTCAGTTTGTTTATTAACGCCAACAGCCTGAATGCCGTACCGTGGTGGTTATCCAGCCAGCGGCCTTCGGTAGAAAATACCTTCATTTCCAAGGGCCTCCAGATAAACTTTGAAGAGATCCGCATTCAACGCTCTCCTTCAACATAAAAATTCCAAATAAAATATATAATATAAATCATAATTATGTTATGCGATAGGCATATTTTTCACGTCGTGATCTCTGTTCAATGTTTATACTAGGGAGTCACTATAATGCTTAGTATCTATTTAAGTAAATTACGAGATGAAAGGGGGGAGGAGGATCCAATATTCTTTAGATAAAGTAATAAAAGACAATATACTTGCAATAATTTTTAATACACAGAATTTAACTTACCAGGATGGCTGTAATAGCTTATTTGTGTTTGTTGTAAAGCTCTTTTTGCGCCAATCCTCCCTTAAAAGTTTTGGTAGATCCACCAGTGAACTCGATGTATTTTCCTCGACTGTCTTCGTCCATGACAAACTGGTTGCACTCAGTTGCGTTCAAGTCATGGCCGTAGGAACCGGGGGGGGGGGGGGGGGGAGGGGGGGGGGCACGTTCACCCCAAAATATTTTGCAGATATATAGATTGCTATAGTAAACTGTATCCTTATGCCCCCTCAACAAAAACGTCTGATGACCTTTTTCTTTCTTTTAGCTTGTCAAGGAATTTTTGGTAGTTGATGACCTTCTTTTGCTTGTCGAAAAATTTTTGGTTGTGCCCCCTCAACTGAAAATGTATGGCTGTGCATCCCCCCCCCCCCCCACCCCCAAACTGACATTGCTTCCTACGGGTCTGCAAGTCGCCAACTTTCAAATATGTTGAAAGCCCACCGCGTATTCTTTCGATAAAGGCTTGAATTCCGCTTTCGTCAACAACAATACCAAATCTCATGCCTTTCGGGTCATAGAGCTCAAAGTTGAAATCGAAGTTTGGTAGGCCTATATCGATAAAATCCGTTGCCTCCTGTAACTGAATTTCTGTCGGTTGATAATTCATTTCAATTTCATCACACACTTGCGGAAGCGTAAGGTCATCTTTCTCCGATGTTTGCAAAAGAAAGTCTACATCGGCCAGGTTGTGTTTCAAAATACATCGCTTCCACATCATTTAACGCGTCCACATCTGATAATGTCAACCGAGCTTTGCACAATTTGCACGGGACAGCGGGAAAGATTTGTCACATGAGTGGAAAATTGTATTTCATTGGAGTTGGGCTGTTTCGTACTGAATAATCATTACAAAATTACACGTGTTCAAATGTAAACTTTTCAACTGGACCATGATACAAGACAGTTATTGACATTTATTGAATATTTCTTTTGGTGTATCCTGATTTATTTGGGCGAAGGGCGGCCCGCGGAGACTCGTGCTTTGCACTCGTCACCACCCTTCGCCCAAATAACTCAGGATACACCAAAATAAATATACGATACCTATTACTTCAAAGGAAATGATGAACGCACAAACATGTCATAAAGAAAATGATATGTCAGTTCCAACGTTTATAATTTTCTTATTTATATTTCTGTGTGAATGAGAAAGATAGAGAGAGGGCGAGTGGAAAAGAAAGAAGCTCTTTCAACTAACCAACTATGTTTACATTGACTGGTGTGCTGTAACCAATACCGTTAGAGCTGTTTGCATAACATCTGTAGTTACCATTGTCTGATGAGCTAAAACTGTAAATTGTTAAGGATGGGTAATATATAGTAGAACCGTAATATTTTGATGAGGACATGTCTATTTCTGTCTCGTTTTCCTGACCCTGGAGTTGTGCTCCCCAGAAAACTCTAGTGACACCAAAACCAAACACTTGACAAGGAATAGTGACAGTATGGCTAAATCCGTCAGTGATGTTTGTTCCCACTAATACTGCAGGTACATCTGGAAAAAAAATTAGGAGAAATAAATCCACATTAAACTATGGTTTCGCAAGGTAGAGATTTTCGGAATTGATCAAATTTTTTGATGATTTTTCTTCGAAAGTCATTTTCTAACTTATATTAATTTCTTACATTTTTTAAACTTTAATTTTCCTTGTTTAAAATATGAAAAAAGAGCAATGCCACTTTAAATTAAACTTGTTTGTGTGAGGAAATCACCAATGTTTAAAAGAAAAAATGTAAAAAAAAAAAAAAAAAAAAAAAAGTTAGATTGATGAAGTGTCAACCCAGGGTTCTTCGTCATTTCAATTTTAACTGTGGCGCCAGATTTACGCAAAGTGCTAATATTCGAGGTCATTTCGCGACCGAATTCTCAAAGGAACAACGAAATAAATTGAAAAAACACACAACCCAATGAATCAATGGTTTAATACAAAATTTATTATTTGGCAAATTGATTATTAAACTTAATAATAAAAGAAATTAATCGATATCGATTAAACATGCATGTAGTGTAAGAAAAAAAAAAAGGATGTTTCCAAAATATATGCATACTGTGAAAAAGATAACCCCCAACACATACGTACTTACAAATAAACAAACATTAGCTTATAGAATGTGAAAATTAAAGTACTAGTAACAACAAGTTTTAAGCATTAAACCCTTATTTTAAAAAAATAATGTTGTTTGCAAAAGATAAATTATACAGTGTTTATTAAAGGACAGGTGAAATTCTGGTAAGTCACACAATCACGCTTACATCTATATATATTTGCAATTATCGGTCTGAAGACTGAAATATGGTAAAACTTGTGAATTAAAAAAAATACTTAAGCAGTTTAGAGGCATACTATCATACAATAATATTTTGGTGGGTCTATCATTAATTTTTCAACATTTCAAAAATACATGATTACGATATACATGCGATGTTTCACTCCAGTTCCAGTGCAATTTTCGAGACGTTGTTATCTGTAGTACTTTTAAAGTGAAGTAATAAAATTAATGTAAAATTTTCAGTAGCAATTATCGTGAAGTGTGGAAAAATGGCTTGTCTCTTTTTATTTAAGGTCTACAAAATAATTGCTTGTGCAAGCCAAACAATAGGCCCTAATTAGGGTAAATTAACGGTTTAGCATTAGAAACTGGAAAAACGGTACATAATTTTGACGTTCCTTTGATTTATAAATTTATATATTTATCTTGTTGACGACGACGATTTTACTGTGGCGCTAATATTTTAACTGTGGCGGACCTATGGCGATGATTTTTTTTAACTGTGGCGCTTTAAGGAATTTAACTGTGGCGGGGCCGCCACGTTAAATGTCCCATGGAGAACCCTGCAACCAAATATAATAAGACAGAAACAGCAACAGGGCTTGTCTATTACCTCCAAATAAATAAACTGCCATGTCCGAGCTATTACTTGATCCATAATGGTTATGCACAGAACAGTGATAGAAACCTTGGTCTTCTCGCTGGAAATTCGATATGTTGAGGTTTGGAGAATAAATTGTTCCGCCAGAGTATTTACCATTAGGCACTGGATTTATTGCTACATCATCTTTATACCAACTTACTTCAACAACAGGAGGGTAACTGGAGGCAAAATTGCAAGACAGGGACACGCTATCACTAGCGTTGACAGCGTAATGTGTACTTATCGTGGATAAAACAGGAGAACCTAGTTTTAAGAGGAAAAAAAATACGAGTGATAAACATCTTTCCTTTCCAGAACAGTTCTTAGAATGCATATTATGTTCTTCACTGTTAGCGGTGCTTTTCAATTTGTTGCACTCTTGGTCCATCTTGTAAAACGCTGCATGTTATCTCCAAATATTAATGTAAAAGAAACAGTAATTGAATTGAATTTGAAATCTTGTACCGTGATACAAAATAAAATAAAAAAGTAACAGAGATTAGTGTTGCAAGTATGCAAAATACTTACCACGTCGCAAATCTAGAAATATCATTGATGCGCTTTGACCTATCCCTGCTGAGTTTTGGGCCAAGCATCTATAGTTTCCTATATCTTCAATCTTCACGTTCTTTACGGTAAGAGAGGGTGTCCCTACGGTGCCGCCGCTATATTTAGTTGTATTACCAGTATCTATGGTGGTTGTGACGCCGTTTTTCTGGTAGTGCCATGTAACAGAAGACACAGTTGTCGTGCTTATCACGTAACAATTGAGTATGGCGGACGATCCAAAATATACTGTAAGACTGGATCCTAACGTTACATTTGGTAGGCCTATTATCAAAGTTATATTGTAAGTGCCTATGGTATACATTTTGATAAATGAAAATTTATTATTGATTTGTTCATCACCTTTATATCAAACTTACCCGGGACATAGCAGTTAGGGTCTGTGTTTCCGGCCAGACAGTGACACACATATTTTCCAAATTGATCTTCACATGTCCCTCCATTAAGACAAGGCTCACTTAAGCAATCGTTAATGTCTACAAGAAAAGTTATAATAAAACAGGTTACATGTCACAAGTAAAGATAGCTATCATTACAATGAAAAGAATGTAATGTAACAAACCATCGGCGCAGGTCCCGTTCGACAATTCGTTCGTTAACAATGGTAGTAGATCAAACGTGGTCAGGTACGTATAGTCGTTGTGCGTGGCAACGGATCTTAGAACAACTGAATTTATTCCAGTTCCTACCCCGACGCAAAATATCGTGACCCCGATTGCTTTTAGTTGGTCAGGCTGGTTGGAAAGTGAACTTTGTCCATCGGTGATCAGAACTACAATTTTTGCCGAATCATTTCTTGCTCCGCGGGAAGAATTAAAGGAATACATTCGGGCATAATCAAGGGCACTTCCTATGCTCGTTCCCCCGCTGTTGAATGAAATGGAAGTTATAGCAGATTGAAGGCCAGATACTGTGTGATATCTGTTGAGTGGAAATATTTCTCTAGAAGAGGACGCAAAGTTGACTACACTGAATTGATTTGAATCGTTTCCTACTTTGAAGTGACCTACAACGGAGCTGACGAATGTCTTGATTCGTTCAAAGTTTAGCGATCCGATACTGCCAGACTCATCTAGTAGAAAAACTATGTCTCCCTTCGAAACGCACTCTCCTAATAGAGAAAGAAAAGATATTTTGTTTTCATTCTTGATTAAAGCAGTCTCTATATGTCTTTTCAATGGACATAAAACTTGTTTCTGGTTATCCAAAATGTTGATTGTCTTGATATTCACAAATCAAATTGATTAATTTTTTATCAATGCTAAAGTTGCTATTTGTATCTTGCTTGATTGACATATTCAATGATTTGAAATAATGTATGCTGCTTGTATTATGCTAATTCAAGAGATATCGTAGGAATATTTCATGAACCATTTAATAAAATTAAAATACACTTCAGCCGTCACTCTTTCGTGTGATTGCTCCATTACTTTTCAGGAATTGAGAGTTGCAATCTCCTTTCCGTGTCTCTACCGGGGAAAGAACTTTTATAAAATTATATTTTCATATGAAAAAATGTGTATTATTCTGGAGGGTCAAACTCGGTACCTTCACTTTCATACCTGAACACTCATCTCACTACACTATCGAAATTGTTTTAAATAACTCCGTAACACTTTCTCCATACTCTCTTTTTATATAAATTTAAAACTATAAACAAGTTAAATGTATATTTATGTGTATCTTTGCTACATGTATTTTGAAAAATAATAATTACGATCTTTAAAAGAGTGCATTTTAAGCAAGTCAATGTACGAATAGCGCTCCATTCTTTATAAGTAATGGGTCTCGGCCCCTTCGGGGCCTCGGCTCCATTTCTTTTAAGGAATGGATCGTTAATCGTATATTAACCCTTACATATCGAGTTTTACTATTAAGTTGATAAGCATTTAAAGTATATTTCATGATCTCGGGACCAGCGAAATATAGGAATTCCCAATAAATTTAAATAATGTCTGAAGTAATACCAACGCAGAGCCGATAAATTATAAGTAAACCCGATCTTTATCTTATTTAAACGATTCATTATAATTACAAATGCACCTCCCTATAACATATGATCCATGATATTTATTTAGAATTCTATCTAGGATTTAAATTTCGTTGTCGAAAATGTACATAGTTTAGCTCTTTTACATTTTATTGTTAACAGAAACTGAAGCGTCCAAAAAGAATCGTTCTATATTTAATTTGGCCTTGAGGAATTGTTTGAATTGAGAAATAATCAATCTGAAAACATAAAACTCTGCTAATTTGCAATTTTGAATAATAATAATACATTTTCATTTAAATGAGACCAAAAACAGCATCATGTTAAAGAGCATTTTAATATACTAGTAATTTGAGTTTCTTAGACGAATGTTTAGTGACTGTGACAGAAATTTTGTCGTTGGCATTGAATTACGCAAATACGCTTAACCGACAGGCCTTTATATCCCTTTAATACGACTTACAAAAAAGTTGGGGTGTGAAAAAAAGATAAAGGTATGGAACTCCTTATATAGGGTACCCAAATTCGCCTTTGAAATACTTTAAAATCAAATGATGTAAAATTTTACTTCCTATTCATATATATATATATATATATATATATATATATATATATATATATATATATATATATATATATATATATATATATATATATATATATATATATATATATATATATATTCGTATGTAACCAATTTACGTTAGTGCTCAAGTTCATTCCGAAATCCAGTATACCTCCCGAGATATGCTGAAATCAATTCCAAAATTGACATATTTTTTACTAAATATTAGCTTTGGCCCCTGGTCATTCACATGTATAGCAGGCGGTGTTTGAACTGCAGCGAAAAGCTGCATAGTATTTGCACAATCTTTCAACTTTTTAAAATTGACTTTTTTTACTCAAGATTGTACGGAAGCCGGTAGGTGCCATGTTAAAAAAATATTTTATCTGGCGGCCGCCACATAAATAACTGGCAGCCGCCAGATAAAATATTTTTCTACCTGGCACCTATCGGCTTCCGTACGATCGTAAGCTTAAGTCCGTAATAATTCCTTTCGCAAAAAAAAAAAAAAAAAAAAAAAAAAAAAAAAAATATTAGAAAATGTCTGCTTCAACAACTGCACATCCATGTTGTTTATTAATGTAAAAAAAAAAGCTATGATTACACGAAATTTTCCCAGAATGTATAATATATATATATATATATATATATATATATATATATATATATATATATATATATATATATATATATATATATATATATATATATATATATATATATATATATATATATATTTATATTCGTCATTTTCACCAAATATTATAAGGTTGGAATGTCATATGCATTTAGATATAGCATTTAAAGAGTGTTAAATATCGGTGGTCGGCGCACGGCAATTTCTTGACTTTCTAAATTAGCATTGCCACTACGTTTTTCTTTATTACACGGCTATATGGAAATATTATGTGACAAAAAATACATCCATAGAAACTCTACGATCTAAAGTATTCGTGTGTAAAAATTAATAATTTGACTTCATAAATGACAAAAATATGACGTTATATGACCAAACACAGTAAGTTATTGTCAAAAACGGCGACGTCTTGCGATAATGCGGCGCACCAAATCATCACTCAGTACTGTGTGGAGCAAGGTATGACTCCTGTTAACACGGGAAAAGAGCTGGAACGAAGGAACGACACAAATACATGTATCGAACACTAGGTTATACATAGCAAAAGAGGTTCAAAGATGGATGGAGTGATTATCCAAAGGAAGAAGCGTTTGGTAGACCATCAAAAATGACGACAAAGTCTAGAGCTGGACGTCATATGTGGAGACCACCGTTAACAATGCGAGCAGTTATGTTTATGATAGGGATTGGAAAATTGTCTATTAAAAGAATTAATTCCTTGATTTATTCTTAACTTTAGTATGTGTGAAATGGATAACTCGTTAACTAAAAGAAAATCAAATGCAGTATCGAATTTCTGCTTCGAACGAATTTTTAAAGACGCACAATTCTTGAACAAATTCAAAAACTCCTTCGAAGTACGTTTTAACGTCGTCGATGTTGCGCCGTAAGCTATTTTGAATGATTCGTTTATCAGAGAGAAAAATTTTATTTATAGAGATATTCTATTGAAATTTCTGTGAATTACATAAAAAAATGTTGATTTAGGTGCATGCCAATTTTTAACTTTATAAGTGAAACGAAAAATATTGGAAATGTTCGCGTTTCTCTGGGACAACCCTCGTATAATTAAATATATAAATAAATAAATAAATGAATAAAAATAATAATAATTATACATATATATATATATATATATATATATATATATATATATATATATATATATATATATATATATATATATATATATATATATATATATTAAATTAGAACGCTAAAATGTTGCTGGTAACTCAGTAAGACGATATGGTCAAATCTGATGAAATTTTGTGAAGAGTGAGTTCTTAAAAGCAAATATCCAGAGAGTAGATAATTTATTGCAGACTTTCGTCCCGTTGTTCCCTTTTTACAATTAGTGCAAGTGTTCCGAGGCCCAAGCTAATGTCGAGTAAAAAAAAAGGTCTATTTTGGAATTGATTTCAGCATATCACGGAAAGTTTAGGGAATTTCGTAATGAACTTTGGTAGTAATATAGATTGTATATAAATTATGTGAATAAATATGCATAGAAAGATTTTAAAATATTTTATTGGCGAAAATGGGTAACCTATGTAAGAAGTTCCATACCATAATTTTTTTAACACACCATTTTATTTTTTTTAAGTCGGATTAAATCAATCTAAAGTCTTGTGTATGAGAGGTAGAACTTTATTTTATTCTTTTATTTTGATGATGTCAACATATGTATCGAATTTCATAGAAATGAGACTACTACTGTATGTAAGCTTTTTTGACTATTCTTTAAATGCTAAATATTTAGTAACGATAGCAACGCCGCTGTCTGAAATTTTGAAAATGTACAATTTCATTTTTGATATACTATGGATGTTGCTGACCAGACAAAAGGAATAGGAGAAGCAAGATCTTGAAAATTGCCTACAGACTCATGACAGACTATTTTTATGTTTAAGACATACAGTCTTCGTACAATATAGTACTAAGTTTTTGCAAATTAAGAAAAATATAAATGAAATCAAAAGAAATAATAAAAATAGTTAAACTGTACTCTTTTGACAAATACAATGCTTATTTATACACAAGGAAATCTATTAATAGATGTATTTTTTAAATTAATTTTGGGTTTAAGTAATTTGGAAATCCTTGAACATATGCACACCAATATGATATAAATAGAAAGTAAAATAATTAAATCCTACCTTTAATATAAGGTATGATAAGCCATACCATTTGCAAAAGTACAAACAATTTCAACATTTTCGGATAGTTTTTGTAAGTTTTCTTACATCAGGCATCTTTGAAAGTAATCATTGCGACAGGGTACCCGTGCAAACGATTTATGCTAATGCATTTGAGTCAAGTCCATCTTATATAAAAACAAAAACTAGGCGTGTTTTCAAGACAGAAGTAATATAGTTTAGAGAATAGTTTAAATGGTTAACAGTGGGTCGATTTCATTACAAGGCAGTTGATGGTTCTGAAGGGGGTTTAAAGCGTAATTTACATTTTGGAAATGTTTAACTATGTCACATTGTATTGGTATATCCTTGAAACTGTTTTGTATTCATAATTATGTCTGCTTTTGTGTCTTGTCTTTTGAAGACCTGAAACTGAAACTAAAACATATTGGAATATTTAAAAAAAAACATTGTATTAAGAACACTTCGCCTACAGTTATTTTACACTTTTTTTTTCAAAATTCTACTTCTCCTACTGTATAGGTCACAATCATGCTACTATTTCTATATTTTCTAAAGTCAGAATTTTACAAAAACCTGATAAAATAAAAAACCAAAGGTAGTGACTGTTCCATTGTCAATTGGGGCACTAGAAGTGAAGGTCACGGGTCTTTCGGATGAGACATTAAAAGCCGAGGTCCTGTGTCACGATAGGCGTTAGCACGATAAAAAACCTTAACCGCTCAATGAAATTTGAGACCTTTCACCGATATATAGTGATTTCTCTAGATGAGTTTAAAAAATTGAATGTGACGTAAAACAACATACAATCAATCAATCTTTCAATTTTTAATTTCGATATTGGACCTGATATGATGCCGATGTCAGCAAACATTAAAATAACTGGACCGATTAACGTCATCGTTACTTTCTTGGACCCAAATACGGCATCCCGCTTTGCACCTACACGTTAACAATTTCAGATATAGAATTTTACAGAGTATGAGAGCAATATAATTGCTTCTGGAGAAAAACAAAAACTCTTGTTGGAAGCCGTATTAAATACATTTAAGCTTCGTATTTTGTCTATCAATTTGTGTTATTATTTTACGTAGTTACCAAATTAAAAAAAAATACCAAGGAAATGTTTTAACGAGGCCCTAGCTTCTTGATCTCACCTTACATTTTCATGCAACGTTGTTTCAGACATGTGACAATAGTCTTGACTGCCGCAATATAATTATGTGCATGTAAAAAGGGTTATATGAGAGTTTCTATCTAGTATTATGTTCAATAACTTAAAATAAACAAGTATTTTAGTTTTTTTAAAAATACATTTCCATTCAAGTCAATACCTTTTGTATTTCTTCTTGAAAATGTGTATTAAATTTGATTTTTGATAAATTAAACATGTATACGGCAGTAGTTTGAATTTAATATCTATCTTAGAATTATCTAAACACCCCAGAAAAGATATACAGTACTTAAATTCCCAACATAACTTTAGACTTATTTTTTTGATAACCTCTCTGAACCCCTCATTACGAAATAAAAGAAAGTTATATGCTATATACAAATTGAAAAATGGAGGGGGGTTGAGGGGAGTCTTTTATAAGGTTATACGCATTTATTTTTACCAAATATATACAGTAGAATAATTTTTGTTGATAGTACAAAATTCAATACTACTTGAAAATAAAAGCTTTTCGAAATTTGTTGCCACTTTTTTATTTTGATAAGTTCCCTTTTCGCTACGATAAAGAATCGAATTTTCTTCAAATTTTTTGAATTAGGGATGGTTTATGCTTAAAATCATGAAAAATAATACATTTTTTAAATTTGTATTTTAAATTGTTAACTCAAATCCTTTCTTAATCACTAGAGCATAAGTTTATTTCATACAGTAATTGTATGTTAATTTACGGAGTATGGTCTGTCCATATCTTGACCCCCCCTCCCCCCCGTAATTTCAATATTTTTTAATCATAATCATGAATATTTTGAAAGTACATTTTACATGTAGTTTTAAAACAAAGGCATAACAGGTCTGCTAATGAGGTATATACATGACTACTGTGAATGGTTATTTTTAAATAGATTACAATTACAAGCATCAAACGAGTTTTTTTTCTCCGCCTGATATCGACTTATTTTTTCCACTTCAAATATTCAGTATTTTTTTCTCATATATAAGGGTAAGCTAATAAAATGTATTTAATTCTACAAACCCATTATGTTTTCGTTGCAAAGTAATGCATGTCTACTATTCAGATGATCTCCAAGTGACATCCCAAACATAATGCCGTATTTTAGTTAGCATATATAGATCGAGTGATAAAGCCAACTCATAATCTCAATATTATTATTATTATTATTATTATTTTATTGTGCATCTCTTTCAATTTGAAATACAATTTGTTCATTTAAATTCAGTGATTTCTGTAATAGAATTTAAAGATACACCATGAATAGCTAGATTAAGGAATGAAGTACATACACCTGTAGAAATACTACAAGTCAGTATATGATTCCTTCTTTATGAAAACTAAATCCTAGTCCTATTCAAAATTCTGCAGAGGAACCTCCTTATATCTGAAGCGTTGAATGAGTGCAAAACAGAGCTGTAACCAAGAATTAAATCTATAATCATAATTATTGTTTTTAACAGAGGAATCAGACATGGTTCTCATCTTATCGACTTAACATTTCCCAGTCCCTTATTTTTGTTTGAAACAAAATGTACAGGCATTTAGTTTGGCCATTCATGAAAGTAAACATGACGACAATGACAATAAAAAATTATACAAGTTTAATGAACTCATACGTCTATATTGGGTACAAGTTAACAAGAAGACAACATTTAAAATTTGCTAAGAATATTAATAGTATTTAGCATAAATCCTCTCCTATAAAATTAAATCTTTACACTAAACATTTTATATAATTTTGATTCATAAACTTATATAAAATCATGTACTGAAATGATAGATCTTACTCAGGATAAATGTTTTAATCAAATCAAATATTAAAAAAATGTCCGATCTTCTATTTTGTTGGCAATCAAACTGATACTTAGAAAAGGAAAAATTGGGGGATATAAAAAGTTCTTTTCACACTGAAAATCTAGGTACAAATGTCCTGTCCTGTACAAATTATCATAAACAAAATATTATTGTTATTTTGTTCAACTAAAATAGTGTATTATCAATCTTGTTCTTTAAGATGCATTTGATTCTTATGCCACTGGAAATAAAATAGAGTAAGAACTATTCATTTTGTGAAATATTTGTACAGGTTACCTTCTTAATGTTTTATATTTTTAAAGGTGTTGTCAAATTCAAGACTAGAACTGCTTTTTTGGGTTGTTCTTTAAATTGTTCAATTTATCAATCTTCAGGTATTATGTAATTTTGTTGTGAAGTACCGGTATAATTGTGCAAATGATAACTTTTTTAAAAGTCATAACTCCATAAAGGCCTCAAAGAGTTCCCTTTTGCAATGATCACAACTGCAGGTTTTTCATTTAAACACTTAAATACATCTCAATTACAACAAACAATTTTGTTTCAAGTATAATGGGGTCGAGAATGTGTTTACTTTACCTCTGATTTTTAAAAACCAAAATCATCCACATCAAGTTAATAAAAGCACGGTCTGTCCACAATTACAATTTGTATTCGTTCAACCCTTTACTATGAAAGAAGACTCGACTATTAAATAATTGATTTTTTAAGATGTGGCATCTTTGAGTTGTAATTACGTTATACCTGGTGGTCCCTATTCAGAACTATCGACATTAGATACCAAATAAACATAGAATTTAAAAAAAAACATAGTAGTACCACAGTTTATCTGTAATCACATTCTACCTTTGGGGTAAATATAATCAAAAACATTTATTTAATGCGCATATATTTTCATTGTTTTGTGAAAATCAATACGAAAGAAAAGATGAAAAAAACTGATTAAATGCGTATGGGGGCTACATGTAGCCCTCGGCTTAATCTTTCGCGTGATTTTGCATAATTTGTATAAAATTGAAGAAAAAGTATGACAAGTGTTTGTTAAACAAAATGCTGTTGTGCAATGATGCTTACCCCTAGTCACCTTGGCCCTGCTATCCTTCCTAAGAAGGTGTTTTTAAGATTTCTTCCTTATTGGCCCAACCTTAGTCAAAAGGAGACATGACTTAACTAAACTACAATAAACACAACATAGGGATGCTGAATATCAAAATCACTGAGGTGGCCTTACTAAGAAAAGATATATATATATATATATATATATATATATATATATATATATATATATATATATATATATATATATATATATATATATATATATATATATATATATATATATATATATATATATATAAGGGATGTCAACGAATAGTCGACTATTCGACTATCAGTCGAATGGACCGACGATCGAATAATGAAACGACATTCGAATACTATTATAATTAAATAAATGCAATAAAAGAGTAATAACAAGATGAAATTCTCATCACAAAATTGAAAAACTATCCTCAGAGACAGTTGATAAGGTATTTTTTCTCAACAAAAAACGGATGATTTTCCATGTACGTTTAGAAAGTACAGTAATTATAAGTGCTTCACTACTACGAGAAATATTTGTTTGTTTGTTTGTTTGTATGTTGTTTAACGTCCCTCTCGAGAATTTTTCACTCATATGGAGACGCCACCACTTGCCGGTGGAGAGCTGCAAATTTTGTCCTATACTCGGCACTTACGGCCATTGAGCAGTGAGGGATCTTTTTCGTGCCAGCACCTACTGCACACGGGACCTCGGTTTATACGGTCTCATCCGAAGGACCGGTCTCCACGTCCCACAGTGGGATTCGAACCCGCAACGTAAGGATCAACTCCTTACGCAGCGACTCTAGAGCAAACTCTCTAACCACTGCGCCACGCGGGCGACAGAAATATTTGTCAGTAACGGCCTGTGTTGTTTTTGTACTAAATAACCCACTAATATACTGGGGTTTGTTTGTAAAAATATTAATTGGACTTGATCTTATACCATGTACCAATTATCGTTCGTTATTTTAAGAGT